AAGTACATGTCGAAGAAGTAAAATGAAATGAAATCTCGCTATAACATCGATAAGATGTCGTATCCTATAGCTAGAGAGTTAGAAGGTCGCTCTGATGATTGATCTGTCAAAAACTATCTTTTTTTTTGTAATAAAATTTTGTATGATATAACTAGGAGGCAAAGAGATTTAAATAATTTTTTTGCTAGCAGTATCTAATTGTGCAGTGGTTTGGGTCTGGCGCTTCGCTTGGTACCTACTCCATAGTGGGTAGTATTAGATAAGCCAATCATGCATTGACCTCGTCCCTCTGAGGTGCTCGTGGTTGGAGAGATGGAGAGATTTGAGGCATTAGGAGCATTTCCCCTGTCTCATAAAGAATATGTGCGCTGTTCAACTATTACAAAACGTTCGAAACACCTGATAATATAAAGACAACATGTAATCGAGCCTTTTAAACAATTTAAGGTCGGTAATGTATCGTGCCGTATATTTCCGTAGTTCGATGATAACTAAAAAGTCTAGTCGGAATCGCACACGAAAGATTCCGTACCGGAAACGAGCAAAAAATTCACGTTTGTTGTATGGGAGACCCCCTAAAAAAATTATATAATTATTTATTTTTAATGTTACTATAGTAATAGATTCTGTAGATATTTCAAGCGTCCACCTGTTGTCATTATCAATAAAGCTCAATAACAAACAAAACAATCAAGTGTGTTGTATGAGAGCCCCTTTAAAAATTTGTTTTATTCTGGTTTTTAGTAGTCGTTCTTCAAGCGGCAACAGAAAATACATTATCTGTCTAACTTTCACGCTTCATGAGATAGATACAGCTTAGTGTCACATATAGCGAAGTCTTGGCAAAAAAGGAACCCTTATCATTAAAATTGAACAAAAAAGGATGTTAAGTAAGAGCATTGTATAGTTCAAATTCAATGAAGTTACGCAAAGGAATCGCTGGATTGGAGCCGTGTGCTATAAATACCGAACAAATTCATTCATATCACAAATGTTATAGATTATTGTATTTATAAAAATATTTGTCTTAAGTACCTCAGTACTTGAATGAATGAATGAATTCTTTTTTGTACACCATAATAAAACAAAAGGATAATCGATACAATTTAGTAGTACAATCGGCGGCCCTATCGTTAAAAAGCAAGCTTGCTGTAATATAAGAAGTGCAATTGCTATTAAAATCAAGAAAACCGCATCTGGTTAAGTTACTGATATTATAGAAAGTTGACATTACGTCAGAGTTACTAATATCAACGTAATAAGGTATTAATAGGTAACACACAATGTCAAGAAACCATTATTTAAATTTTTTGTTATTGTCATAGACAGATACAAGCTGTATGACGTTGATTCATAAACTAATTTGGTAGTAATAGATCATTTTCAATGTCAGCGTGCTTAGAGATAAGAGATATTTTCACGGTAATCTTAGCGTTTATAAGTATACTACACAGTCGCGAATAAAAATATTAATATATTAGAAAATGGATACAGCCCAAATCTACTTCAAAATCGTTCATGTTTGAATATGAAAATACGCAAGAGACTTAATGAGGTCATTATAACGATCATAGACATAAATGTAGAATCACTCATCTAGTGGGGTTTTAGAATACGATTAATAATATAATTTTCTAGAAACAACGGAAAATAGAGTAGTTTTGTCTCTAAAAATTATAAAAATGCGAGTAACTTAATAACATAATAATGAAAAAGCGATAATAATTTACATACTTCTAATAATCCGATTTATAAATGTTTAGTTTCCTACAAACAATGGTGTAGAAACCCGCACAATTGTGCGGGGTACATAAACAAGAAAAGTACTCGGTGAATTTAGTTTGTTAGCACAAAAAGGTTACTGGTTACTTTAGTAAAAAAACTCCAAAAAATATTAAGACTTTGGATTAGAATGTAGAACACCAACGTTTTATGTGAAACAAAAGATTAATGTTATGGGAATTAATTTTTTTCTGAGGAATTCTCCTTTTCACCTCTCACCTTCAAATACTAAAACCGTTGATGTAGTTACTTATGACGACATATTTTATACAAATTAAGTTTGGACTCGAGTAGCAGAACATTTATTTATATTATCGAAACAGTCGACTCATGGCTTGTTAAGTTTCGTGTTTGTTATCCCAAGAGACCTCTTGGGTATTATTTTTGGTACGCCTTCGCTGTTTATTTACTTACAGTTGGGACATTATAATAGGTCACATTTGACATTTATCAAATTGAATTTGATAGTGAGGTTTCTTAAAATTTACGATTAATTTAACGAATCTATATAGCTTGTTTGACGAAAGAAATGCAAATCCTATGAAGTTATTGTGTAAATATAATATAAATTATATAATTATTATTGATATTCGTGAGATTGATTTATTAAATTGTGTCACAATACACAACTTTAACAAGTACAACATAAGAAAATCACAGATAATAGGGATGACGACTAGGTAAAAAAAATGCAATTCTATTTAGTCCGTCAGTCAGATAATAGAAAAATATTAGATACGCATCTTTTTTTATTTCAATTTAAGAAGAAATAGCTTAGATAACAGGCATTAAAGTTGAGGAGTGGGGGCTCGCTACGTCACAGTTTAGTAGAAAATGTACCATAACGTGACGTCATATGAAATTACAACTCCTTGTAACGCCGTAATTTTATGATTACGAAAAAAATAAAAAAATACGTGTTGTATACGTGTTAAATACGTGTGTACCTGCCGGAAAAACAAACAAAAATTAGTCGTCATCCCTATTAATTAATTACGCACAAGTTAGTTATTAAATGCGTAATGCAAAAATTTGAAGAGTAAATCGAAAACACCTTTGTATCTCATTGCCCACGGCAAATAGACACGGACAGAGGATGTGCAATTGCGTGTCAAAACTGTTTGATGAATTACTCGCAAACTTCATATTACGACATTTGTTAACTGCATGATGTATGATTCCATCTGTCCCAAAGAGATTTACCTGTTTATAAATTTTCTCAATAAAAAATAATTACAATAAGGAATAGAGTAAATTGTGAATTTTAGAGGTAACTTTGTTACCTACAAATTCACATTTTGGATGCGTCCGATTACATATATCTTACAATTATGATTTTATTTTATAATTATTAATGGTACCAATTGAAAGTTAGTGTCTTTTGGTTTATGTGCTCTCTTTAATTTAACCAGGTATTTTGAAGATCGATACCAAGTCAATTTTATACGAGTTCATTAAAGATTTTGCATTTACTTATTAAAACAATTTGTAGAATTAAATTGTTTATAATACTTCCGAGTAGACCAAACACTTTCTCCGATTTTTTGGATACGTCACTACTGTTTAAAAAGGCAACCGGTCCACAGCCATAGCAATGTAGCGGCGTTTAGTACCTATGTTTTAAATGAAGTAGGTTTAAAGGTTTATTAGTCAAAGTACAATGTAAAAGTACTTCACTTTCATATTATGACAAATAAATATAATGTTATAACAAAAAAATAGCAATTGTACCGTTACTTAGAAGTTAAGTCTGAAGGATATCAAATGTGGCCTATTACAATGACCCAACTGTAGTTAAGTTATTGAAATGCTGATTAGGAAAGATAACAAGTCGATGTTGGAGAAAATGAAATAACATAATAGTGGGCCATTTGTTTGTTATAGAAAACGAATTTCAAGAAGTACGTTGCGAGCGCGTGTTCGAAGCGATGCGCCAGTGCTGTATCAAGTTCAAGGCGACTGGTTCTCTTGTCTGCGACGGATACGACCTCGAGCCAAGGAAGTTCGCGCCAGTCACGGACAGGCCACACAGAAGTTAGGTTGGTTTTCGTATCAATCATTTATGGCCCATACAATGGAGAATGTACTTTAATGAGATCAAAAGTAGCTCAGGGTTGCTCAATGAAATCTTGGGTGTAATTCTTCAAACTTTCGACCATATTAGCAAATAATATACATCAAATCAAATCACTCGATCAGAAAGAAAGATTATCAACCAGCAAAACACGACCACGCGGATTCGAACGCGGAAGAAGTAATAATTTAAAATATTAGCGGCCAGCATTGACCAATCGTCCGGAGAGTAAACCTACCTATAGTAATGTGCACGGACGTTACAGTACCCCAATATTGATACTAACAAAAAAAAAATAGTGTATCTATCGCAGCCCAGTGGACTAAGCCCAGGGCGGCACCAGGCCTGGTTCAACAAGTCCTTCCCCTCCCCCTGTACTGGCTACACTTATCTACTTACCTGTCTACTGGGCCTCAAAACCGAATTTACGATTTGATCAAGTTAATTTGCAGCCATTTAGAGGCCCCTCAGAAACAGAGGCCCGGGACGGAAATTTATAAACTTTTATAGGATTTTAAACGAGAGATAAATTGTATTATTTGACGTCCACATTTTTGCAAATTGATCAAGTTAAAGAACTCGCACGTAAAAAATAAGTAAACAATAATAAAACGCCATTTGCGCTCTGATAGTTTGAATAAGTCACGTGTTACTTTTTCTTCCTCTCCACCGCCATTGTTCATGTCACAATTTAATTATAGTTACTGTAACACATCCGTGCGCGTTACTATAGGTAGGTTTACTCTCCGAACGATTTATGGCTAATACTGGCCGTTCATATTTTGAATTATTAATTATTTCGCGTCGACTTGTTTTGCTGGTGGATAATTTTTTTTCTGATGGTAGCCGGCTCCGAGACAGTGTTTTAGAAAATTTACTTATAAATCATTTGCAAGAATTTCACCAAGGATTTTATTCTGCAACCCTGAGTTACTTCATTTCCACCATCAGAGTACCTAGCTTTTTTTTAAAGTTAAAAATACTATTAGGTAGGTAGGCGAAACTGATAATTGCAAGCCTTAATCACTACACCTGTGTCAGAGAAGGACCAGCCGTTGCAACTACAAATTATAGTTTCGTAAGTCTACAGATTGTACCGAGCATTGCCACTGTATACCTATCGACTAATCAGAGAGCAGTGTATTACTTGCCCTAGTATCATGGGCTAGGCAAAACTACATTCAACATAATTGGCTTACGTTTATTTGCGGAAGAAATTAATCATATCAGTTTGTTTTTGTCTTGTTCCAGATAATTATGGAAAAATACCCTCGTAGTACACCACTTGGTAAAAGAAGTTGGGTCTACAGGTATCCCAAGACTTTCCAAATCACCGGTACTATAATCTGTGTCGGGATTTTCTTCTCTAAACCGATTTACGACTTTTTCATCAGACCTAAGGATATAATTGATTTCAGTGAGCCGCTTACCACTCTTCAACAGAAGACGATCAACCAAAACATAGAAAATTGAAATGGACTCTGTCGCAAAAGCTAGAGAGAGATTCGCGAAATATCCTCTCCTATTCTCAAAGTGTACAAAGCAAAGCGCACTCTACGCTCGGTGTGTACTCTTGAAAGAGGACGCTGTGAAAAAGGACAATTGTGCTAAAGAGTTTCAAGAGTTCAAAACGTGTTTACAATCTGCTGCTAGGAATTTGAAAACAAGAATTTAAACATGGATAGATTGACATTGATTAATTTGCCATTCAAATATCATCTTATTGCAGGAGTAGTCATAAGACTTATTCTCATTGTTTATGGGGATATCCATGATAGAACTTACAATGTGCCATACACGGATATAGATTACACAGTTTTTACTGACGCAGCTAGATATATTATCGCTGGCGAGTCTCCTTATAACCGACCCACGTTCCGGTATAGTCCTATCATAGCTTATCTCATGATTCCGAATATATTTCTCGGTAGAAATTTTGGGAAAATTCTGTTTTCAATCTTCGATATCCTAGTCGCTGTAGCAGTCAAAGTGCTAGTTGAACATCAGTTGAAAACAACAGCAGATAATCGAGCGTCCAAAGTTGCAATTTACTGTGCTCTGTTTTGGCTCTACAATCCCTTAAGCATTTGTATCTCGACGAGAGGAAACGCAGACTCCGTTCCATGCTTCTTTATAATATTATCCATACTCTATTTACAAACAAATTTGGTCAAGGGACTGTGCAAATATGCGCTTGCCGGATTCCTACTAGGTATTTCTATACATTTACGTCTATATCCTCTAGCGTTCAGTTTTCCAATGTACCTTTCACTCGGCGAATATAAGATCAACCGAAGAACAAATATTATTGGTGGCATATTGTCGTTGTTTCCAAACAAAGAGCAAATTATATTGGCATCTAGTTGCATCTCCACCCTCTTTCTGCTTACGGTCAGCATGTACTCGTTGTATGGCTACGAATTTCTATTCGAGACATACATATATCATTTATTTAGGAAAGATACTAGGCACAATTTCTCTGTACTGTTTTACTACTCTTACTTGACGATGGAGCATCTATCTTTCGATATTGTGAAGACCATCTCTCTAGCTTTCGAAATTATTATTTTGTTCATATTAAGCTTGACATTCGGTTGTGACCGAAAGACGTTATGCTTCGCCTTGTTTTCGCAGGCTGTAGTTTTGGTTGCCTTCAACAGCGTGATGACGTCACAATATTTTATTTGGTTTTTATCTCTATTGCCATTGGTCGTTCACAATTTCCAGCTGATACCAGCAGCGAAGGCGTTGATCCTTATAATCATGTGGGTATCGGCACAATGCTCGTGGCTATTTTACGCGTACCTCTTGGAGTTCAATTGCAGAGAGGTTTTCATACTTATATGGTTGATGAGTGTCGTTTTCTTCTACACAAACATAATCATATTGAGTGAATTAATCAGTAGTTACACTCCCGGTTACGGATTTGGAATGATCAACTCTATTAGTAATAATAAAAAGTCTAAAGTAGAAATATTACCGCCATTAGATGTAGAATGAGCTTTATAGATAGTATGGGAATAAATAAAAAGTAAACATTTATCAGTACCGTTTTATTCATAACAATTTTATAACTACTACTATTCAACCACTAAATGGGGACCTAACTAAATTAATCATTTATATTTAAATAAAATGCCACATAAAAGCGAAAAAAGACTCGATCGAAATTTGAGCCTTATTTTAGGATAGGTAAGAAATAACTTGCAATGAAATGTCCATTATAATATCTTTGAACAAATTTATTTAGATTTGAATTTAGTATGGAAATAATAATGGAATTGGAAGATTGCATGTCATAATTACAAAAGAAAAGTTATAACCTAATTTTTACGTAGACGATTCATTGCAAGTCAATATTATACTATTTCTTTTCCGGCAAATTGATTTTGGTGAGGTCCTCGGTTTCTGCGCCTTGAGACATATTTGAGAGTTTCTTCCCTATGCGCTCATGGACATCCAAATACTTAGCGACGCAACGATCGAGGCATACCGATTCGCCCTTGCCTGGAACAAAGTTACAACTTAATGGATGTGGCGATTTTTAGGGAACATCTTGGTCCAGAAATGGGACGTTTTCCAATCAAAATGATGATGATAACTTAAATGGCATATGGTGAATCTTCGTTAGCATAGCAGATCTATAACTCCAACTATGATCGAACGTACGATAAAATTCATAACTAATCTTGTTTCAGTAATACTAAGGTGTAAATTATAAGTCATTAAGTGTCGGTCTCACTGGTCATCTTCTGGTTGGTCATATTTTGTCTATGGAAGGAGGCGAAAGAAGGATGAATGTCTACCCAAAAATCACTTTTCTCGGGTCAAGAGTGAGATATCTTATGGGTGCACCCGAGAAAAGTGACGTTGTGTTGTAGACCAGACATTCTCGAGTTCGACAGGCTACGTGTGTTGGTTGAATATTACTATAAAATTCTTTTATCAAGTTTAAACTTTGCCTATATGTGCTGGATACAACTATTTCTTGTAGTGGTAAATAACATATGTTGTGTGTCTACTATAATCATCAACGTAATAATAATATTCGTATTCATTGAATTTTGTGCTCATATTATTAGTGCAATTAGGGTTGCCAATTGAACTCTACAAATGCTTAATTAAATCAACTTTATTATATTTGATCAATTGAGCATTTCATAATGCTATCCTGAAAAATATTCTGAATTAAAAAATGCTGAAAAAATCCACGTGGCAATCCCTGGCACCCTGAGATGGGATTCGAACCTGTCTTTTCAATGTTCAGGCAATTCAGCTCAGTGTTCAGAAAAGAATATGCTCTGTAGTAGTAAAAAAGTTTACAAGTGCTTGAAAGATTCGGCAGTCCTGTTGGGTCCTAGGCGCTTGTTACTGTTCGCTACTACAGAGCGTTTTTACATCAATGTTCTGGCAATCCACCCAAAGTATAGCATTGTGATTGCAAAATTGATCAAATATAAGAATATTATAATAAGAAGAAAATAAATTAAACCGGATTTGGTTTAGATGTGTAAGCGTAACAGACAGTTTCAATATTAGTGTCATAATTCAAAGTAACAATTAAAAAGAATTAAAAAGTAAAGCTTCTTTTATTTACTAGTGTTAGGATTCCGAGTCAGGTGAAATATTATTGGGTTTTTCTGTCGTATCGGGTGCTGTCAACGACTGTACATTAGTGTATGATTTTTTTTTTCTTTTATTAATGGCTTTCTGTGCATTTCGCACAATTCTGCCAATGTCAAGTGAAGAAATTGATGACTACATGTAAAATGACAATGAAATAATGCATGTCAAAATTTACAGTGATCGGAATAGGGTATTTGACACTATTAAAAATAAGTTGCGTATTATGGTCATCCTGTTAGATAATAATCTAATACAGTTTATTTCTTAGAATCTACAGACAAAATATGTTCAGCTTTAGTAAAATAACGTAAAGATGCAAAATTTTAAGAAATTATAATGAACAACGAAAATCCCATTTATCGTCGCAACCAATAACAGGTTCTGTTTACCGGCATGTGACGTCACACGTAAACCGGAAGCTGTCATGTCAAAACAGTGTTATTAGAGATATACAAAATTTGTATTTATATACACAAATTGTAGCTTGTAGCACAAATTGTTTATAAAACAAAACCAAAGTAGATACAAATAAAACATAAAATTTAACTTCGATTTCTCTTCTGTAATAATATTTGTTTACTTCGTAAATATTACCGGCATGTGACGTCACGAATACCACGTGATTAGCGTCATTACATAGAGCAGCGTTTTTCCCGCGATTTTAGCTATTTAAACTTTAAAAATTATTTTCATCAACAATAGAGCAGATTCTCATGAAATATATTGACAGTGTGTTTATAATGTATCAAACAACCATTTAAAATAGTTTTTAGAAAAGCGTCAAATACCCTATTCAGTAAGGAGTATATTCAATGCTATGAGACAGTTAATGAAAAGTTTTTATTATATATATTATATCACATGTATCAAGACACCTTTATTTCCTAATTTTGCTACCTACAAATTAAAATTTCCCGATTTGACATCTGATTCCGGAACAACTATAGATATTACCAAAAATATCTTTATAAATTTAAAATAAATGACAGTCTTTATTTTACGTAGAATATTATATCAACAAAAGTTGCAACCGACAGGTGTGCCGCTCTATAAAAGACATGCTCGATGGGTAAGATCGTTAAATAAAACTGTTCTTCCCCCACCTTACGCGCCATTCGCGGATTGCAACGAGTGTGGAAAGAGCTACTTGTGCCAAAAATGCCTACTTGTGGCGTATTTAAATGTAACAAGTGTTCACGATCATTCAGATGGGTAAATGATAGAGTTACCTCCCACCTTTAATTTAATTTGTTTTTGTTCAATTATATTCGGAAAAAAAAAGTAGTCAGCTCCTGGTTTATATAAGTATATAAAAAAAAAAGTTGTATTATAGTTCCCGGATGCTTACCATACCGGAGGAAACTATATTTTAGAGATTGATTGACCATGCATTTCTTACGATTGAATAACCTATAAGCGACAGCCCTACATGTTTAAACTATTATCTCACCTACTTATATATATTTGTACTGTGGCCACATGCTGCAATGCATTGTTATTATTTTAGTTAGTGTGCGTGACCTCGCCCCCTTCTTAGATGGCAGACTATTTTGTGTTGAAAAAATTGCCGATTGCTACTCTTATTGGTTGGTTTTTTTAGGTTCCTTGCAATAAGAAAGTTATGATTTATTTCTTCTACGAAAAGTTGTCAACCCAAGTATAACGGAATATTGATAGATTTTGACGAATATTACTACATATAAGCCACATCTGAGCGATCCAACTTGCATCACGCATCATGAACATGAAAGCATTAAAAAAAGAGAATTTGCTTGCAACTGGGAGCGTGTGATCTAAATCTTGAATTGCACGCTCCTGTGGAATCCAACGCATGGAATCTTAAGGATTCAGCTATTGAAACGCCACTCAATGCTATGATTACGTTAACACTAGCAGAATAAGAACTTATTATACATATTTCTATTGTTATTTACCAAGCTCAGGTTCATGGTATTTCACAGGTATACACTTCCGATGACATGCACTCACAAGACGATTGTACATGTCTGACATCATCTCTATTTCCAACTCTTGGACTAGCTGCAGCTTCGCAGGGTCCAGTTGTGGTACAGCCATTTTGATTTCTAACACTTCCCCAGTAATTATATCGATAAAACAGTTGTATCACCTGAAATAGACCAACAATTATAAAATCAAAATGCTTGAATATTTTTATAAGGTCCTTACATATGAAATTGGTGTTTGGTATGGGAGGAACAAAAAGTCGAATATTTTTTAATATATTTATTTAATCAAAGTATAAACCGTTGTTATATATGCACTTTTGCCATCTCATAGTTAGTTCATTGATCCCCTTACTAAAAAAACCATTCAGACCGGAACCAATAAAATCTTTGTAGGCGATTTGCACTGCTCCATCGGAATTGAATTTTTTCCCTTGCAAGAAGTTATCCAAATTTCGGAAAAAATAGTAATCTGTAGGAGCAAGGTCCGGGGAGTACGATGGATGTCTTAGAGATGCAATTGAAGCTCTTCTAACTAGGTAGCCGTCTGTTGTGCAGTGTATGGTCTAGCGTTGTCGTGAAGTAGCAGTGGCGTAGAGCGATTGACCAGTCTCGGTTGTTTAACAGCTAGTTTTTCCAGCGTGGCTTGCAATTGCTGACAATAAACGTCAGCCGACAGCCGTAATCGTCTGGCCAGATTTGAGAAAACTGTAATGAACGACACCGGCACTAGTCCACCAAACGCTTACAAGTAACTTTTTTGGGGTCAATTTTCGCTTGGGGCAGGATTTGGCTGGCATGCCAGGGTCCAACCATTGCGATGACCGCTTTCGGTTATCGTAGAGAATCCCCTTTTCATCACAGGTCATCACATCAATTCGATTTAAAAACTCTTCATTATTGTGCCGGTTAAGTAATGTAACGCAGCAGTCGAAGCGCGTTTGCCGGTTTGCTTCACTCAATTTCCTTTCAAGCTTTTCAATATTTCCAATTCGCTTCAAGTGTGTGATTAAAACAGTTTTATTACTATCACCGCAGCCTGCAGCTAACTCGGACGTGGTTTGGGATAGATCCAATTCCACAATAGACTTCAATTCTTCATTATTAACTTGGGTCTTAGACCATCCACGTAGCTTGTTCTGCAGGTCGCAATTTCCAGAACGAAAACGTTGGAACCAAAAACGCACTGTTTTTTTTTGCGGCACAACCGCCATACACGTCATTAACCCTTCGAGCCGTTTCCGTAGCACTGGTACCACGGTTGAACTCGTACTCGTAAATAACATGATATTTCAAGTTTTCCATTTTTTATACTGGGTGATGTAAATAGGACAAACAGAAGAACATTAAAACAAATGAATGCCGCCTAATGAAACACAAACACATGTGTAAATGGCTGTATAAATTTGAATTTGGAATTCTCAACCAAGGCCAACAAAGTGGCCAGTAGCGTTGTGTTACTCACTCTTTTTTAATGAGGATGAGTGAGGACCTCATTTTCCCTCGTGAGGGGCTCGCGAGTCACCGAGAGATAGGTAATGTTACAGTAGCAGCGAATAAGTACGTAGCGAGGCGCGCGCAACGATGCCATTTGGTACAAAATGAGGGAGGGAGTCGGTAATGCCAAACAAAACATATTTTGTCTTTAGATTCTAAGAAATAAACTTTACTAAACTATAATTTATCAGAATGACCACAACATGCAACTCATTTTTAATAGTGTCAAATGTTCCATTTTTAAAATCGATCAATCATTTATTTTTCAAATCATATAAATACATTTCTAAATAAAACAGATACATTTTTATTAACTTTGATATTTACTTAGTCTAATTCATATCAATTATCTATAAAATATTAAATACGTATTTGTGAAGAACTACATAAACAAACCTGAATCGTTCCAAAAAACTCATAAAACTCAACCCATTCCCTCAATCTTGAATATATTGAGTAAATATCGAATCGCCTTTTCATTCGAAACAACTCGTTATTTAGCTACTCACTCAAAAAGTCCACAACCTCATTTAGCTCCTCACTCCAAATGTGAGGAACTTAATGAGGTGTTTCAAAATTGAAAAACGAGTACTCCCTCATTTTGTCGAAATGAGGAACTCAAACGAGGCACCTCGCGAGTGAGGGACTCATCACTAGTGGCCAGTATGACAAAATGCCAATTTCATATGTAAGGACCTAATATTTAGAGTTTATACTTAGAGGACACAAACAATAATTGAATCACTTAATAATTTCATTTACAGATTATATTTTTCAGTGTTCATTTTAAATGCTTGTAAAGGTATCATTTATTTTTAGGTTCCTAAAGACACAGTTTTTACCTCTCTCCTTTAAAGTCAAAATAAAAACAAGCTGGTAGATGCTCATGCATTCGCTTGGTTTGTCAACATAAATTACTTGAAACTGTCAATCATTAAATACCAGCTGTTTTCTTGCGGCTTTGCCTGTGTTGATTATTTATATGACTATTTTGAGAAAAGTATTTTAACTTTCGTCATGATCATTTTGAACAGGGTTTGAAGTACCATTTCCAAATTTATTTATACTTATCTGTGAAGTAAGCTAATATAGCTTATGTCACCTGCGTTTATTGTAGCTTCCTGTAGATGAGACTTTTTAAAATTGGTATAATAGTTTCAGAGTCTATGCAATGCAAACAAATAAAAGTATATGTAACTTGTGTTTTATTCAAAATGGCATACCATATTTCCTATTAGTTTGTAGTATGATATTTTTTATGTAATTTAATAATATCAGCATCTGCTGATATGGATTTGAAAAAAAAATCAGCAGATACAGTAAAAATCCGCATCAGCAATAACCCTGATATGTATAATACATGGCCACGCAACAAACCAGTTGACAGAAAAAAAGTTATTTACAACATTTTATTGTGAGTGAGGTGTCAGCAAAACCTTTATTCCCTTGGATGTGAAGTTACGGAATAAAGGTAGAAAAAATTTTTTTTATTCAGTTTTTTCCAAATTCATGGCTTCTATGATTTAGCCAATTTCTATTTGATCATCATACATAACAGTTATATTACATGGTAAAAAATATTTCACTCACACAGAATACTTCACTTTCTGTAAGTATCAGGGTAAAAACCTTCGTTAGATCTGCGCATACGTTCTCTAGCTTTCATATTCTCAATACGGCTAGCAGTTACATAGTTTTTAGATACAACAAACAAGGATAAACTTGTGACGGTAATTGCCAACCTGAAATGTAAGCACACATATACATTGTATTACTATGGACAAAAAGATTTAAATATTTTTGGTTATTATTTGTAATTTTTTCTTACGAGCAAATATTTTTTCAATAGTTTTTAGGCAAATTTAGCAGGGCCTTTCAGTCAAAATTCCGACATGAAATTCCAAAAAAAAGAAATGTTGAAAAATTATTAAATCAAAGTAAATCTCACCCACGCAATTAATTGTTTTAAGATGTAAATTGCAAGTATTTATGAGTTAAGTAGTTACCAGGAAAGTGTTATTTTTCCAAATCTTCCAAGAGGCATGCTATCGTATCAATAATAAATACATTTGGTACATTATTTTATAGACATTAACGTGAAATAAAAGAATTTGTTTTGAGGTTATTTTAAAGTGAACCGCTACACCTTGTCATATACTCATTCATAGTTTTATATAATAATACTCTTCTCTTTGCAAAAAGTATCGATACTTTCGCTTCGATAATAAGAAAGAATTTAAAAAAAAGATTAGTTCCCAAAATCAAACTAGATGTCGCTACGGTAGTTTCTTGATATCTCCATGACACCTTTCCGGTTTCTTTCATGTATAAAAGTAAATTAATTTTCAAAACTCAATAAAAACTTGAAAAAAACACTTTTACTTAACTACAGATATTTGCGATTGCTCAGTGGTAAGATGTAACGCTTCGATCGTCTTCGGCCTGTCTACTCGGGCGCCGAAAATGACGAAATTGATATTGAAATGTTAATAATGCTTGAATTTTATTAATCCGTTTCATTGAGGTCACCATATCAGCCACAATTTATTGGAAATAAGTAAGTATTTAAGTCATTACAAGTTTCGAATCAAATTATTGATACATATTACATATGTTTTCAATATATTGAAACAAATCGATACCTTAACAAATTTTACTGAATATTTCATTCATAATTTTACTTATCTAAAAAAATATGCCGGAGACTTTACTATTCCTAGAATAAGTTTTCTAAAAGTCTAAATGTCCCGCGCAGTAAGAAGCCACACTATGGTCTGACCAATAAATTATTTTTTCCGGCAATGTAAAATAATGCAAGAAATAAAATAAGCCACGATTCTGCCTAAACTCACACACACATTCGGAAAGCAAAGGACGCCTTTTCGGTTTCGATTACACAGTTACTGATTCCAATTATTGTCATCACGAAAGATATACTAAAAAAAGGTCTGTGGTACTGATGATGTACTGATGTAAACGGCTGTAGGCAGTGTTGCTAATGTGTCGACTTTGTCGCTAGAAATTATGACTTTTGCTTAAGTCTTAGCGACAAAAAAAAGCTTTTGACGACAAAAATTTTTAGCGACTTATCTGGCGACTTTTGGGAGTCTAAATCAATACAGTTTTAGGCTATGGATACTTTTTGTCTCAACTTGAATAAAAATAATTAAACTTAAAATTTTCATAAAAAATAATTTAACTAATGAGTAGGTACTACACCAACTCTAGAGTGACAATATACTGACTATAGATAAAGCAAAACACTACCTACTATTGTTTTATCGTCGACAACTTATCGATCTATACTTGAAATTCCCAATTTATTTTTTCATAAATAATTAATAGGCATGATGACTGGGTAAAAAAAATGCAATTCTATTTAGTCCGTCAGTCAGATAATAGAAAAATATTAGATACGTATTTCTTTTTCTTCAATTAAACAAAAAATAGCTTAGATAACAGGCATTAAAGTTGAGGAGTGGGGCCTCGCTACTTCACAGTTGAGTAGAAAACGTACTCTAACGTGACGCCATGCGAAATTTCAACTCAATGTAACGCCGTAATTTTATAATTACGAAAAAAATACGCGTTTAATATTTTTTAACACTCTACCTGACGAACAAACGAACAAAAATGAGTCATCATCCCTATTATATGTTATTAATACTATAAAAACATTTTAGAATTTTAATTAATAGTATAAAGTAATAATATAATAAATGGTAATATAATTAACCTGGTCTAACTATAAAAGCGTAATAGTTAATATTACTAATTTTATAAATTTTCAAATTCCCATTTGAATCCAGTACTGGATCAACTTCATAAATATTTTTTCATCATTTCTTGCGTCATTCATGTTTTTAAATGATGTTTTAAGACACAATTTTAAAAGTCAAATTAAACGATTGTATATAAAAAATGAACAACGAATCAAAGCATTTCGCAGTACTGAACGACATTAGAGAGCACATAATTCATATAATCCTTCAGATGGCACCATCATAATAAAGTGGTAAATTCGAATTTACTTGTTAGTAGTTATCAATGCTAAAATTCATATTTCAATTGCATCTTAATGTAAACATTGGCGTATTTAAGAATTTATAAAATGAAAAACTTATTTTGTATACAATTTATTTATAAATTAGGGAATTGAGTAGATTTATCTAATCATGATTATGCATAATAAAAATAATAGTTTGGAAGTTTTTATATGCGTATCTTATGCGCACATTTAACAACAAAGAGATTTGACACACAACATTGATTTGGGATAGAGTAAAAACATTTAAGAAATGCGCTTTTTTATCGATAATCGATGGTCGATAAGCTATTGGTAACATCTAGGTTATATTCATTACTATACTAGGGTAGAATCAGTTTTAGCGACTTTTGATATTAAATCTAGTGACTCGGATTTATTGGAGTTGGCAACACTGGCTGTAGGTAGGGCCATAGCTGGACTTATGCTTCTTCTTCTTTTTTAATTAATGGCTTATCTGCGCATTTCGCACAGTTCTGCCAATGTCAAGTTAATATTAATTTTTACATGTAAAATGAAAATTATTTTCATTCATTTCATTTTTATTTTACATGTAGGAATTAATTTATTCACTTGACATTGGCAAAATTGTGTGAAATGCGCCGATATGCCATTAATAAAAGAAGAAGAAGAAGAAGAAGAAAATGAATTGAATAAAAAATTAAGAAAACTCTTATCAAACATTGACAGTTATGTTCCTGTATACAGATTTTTTAAAATACAGTTCAAAAAATTTAAGGATTTAGAAAATCCAGGCAGGGCTGTATGGACCTAACATCCTTTGCCCGTCCCAAACAGGGACAAATTACCAAAAAAAAAACAAAAATGATGTAAAAATGTAAACACAAAATACATCCCCTAAATAATTTACAACTAGCTGAATATAAAGTTTAATTAAGATTTGCTTGAAAATGCCTAGAACTACAAAATTACATAATAAAAGGAAACCCACTTCAATACAAAAATCCCACAAAGTAGAAGATGACGGAGACACAGATCCTGAAGAATCTATCAGAAAGTTCCAATTGGAACTTTGTTGGTGTATTCAGCAATTAGAACGTTCTATAAATGACACAAAAGGCAACGAAAAACAACGTGAGTAAAGGATTCAGTGAATAATAGTAAATCTTAATCCCTGGATTTTATCGGTTTTAAGGTGTTGCCATCTCTGAGGTCCCGGGTTCGATCCTTGGTCTGGTCAATGTAGAAAATGAACTTTTCTATAATATCTCTTTCATAATATCGACTTTGTTTATTATTTATTTATTTAGTTACTCCATCGTACATAAACATACAGTAATAAATTCACTAAAGCTTTTTATAACCAACCTACAAATATTGTTTCAGTCCAAGAAGCATGGAAGGTATTGACAGTCTTAAAAAGTAACAACCAGCCTGTTATCAGAAAAAGACAGTTAATGAGGACTCACTTTGGAGACTACAGGGCTAAAATGGCAGCTGAAGAAAAAAAATTAGCTAAAAGTAACTTCTCATTCAAGTGTAAATTAACTAAATTAAGTTCTTTGTCTATATTATTTTATCCTTTTCAGTGACAAGGAAAATCAAGATTGCAGAAGTTCCCGACAAGCCAAAGGCAACATTTCTTAGGAAATCTGCTTTTTTGTCTACAGGAGATAATGCATTCCGCTTTAATTTTAATTTAGCCCCTGAAGAAGTGGACAACAATCAGTTTCATACAGATTCAAATATTCCCAATGAAGAAAATAAGCTTTCAAAATTAAATGACGAATGTTGTACAAAAAAAGAGGACAACACTAAACATTTTAAGTTTTCATTTTCAGAGTCTGCATTTAAATTTAACTTTAATGTTGATAGGTCCGATTCATAACATTTTTTGATTTTTTATATTTGTAAATAAAGTGACTTAATTACATATAACTAACTTATCCTTTTTGTTGTCCTTTATTCAAAATTTTATACATATCTTACTAACTGTTTTTTACCCTGTCATCCACATGTGTTGTAGTTTCCCATAGGTGAAAGAATTTTTATAATTGGACTGGTAGTTTCGACGCAAACAAACAACCAAATGTTTTCCTCTTTATAATATTAGTACAGATGTAAGTATACATATAGCTACTGCAATATATCAAATTTCTTCAATTGATATTGAGCTCTGCTTTCTATGCATTAAAATTTAAAATCGAGTGAAGAAAACTAGCAGTTTTTGACAAAATAATTATCTTATAGCCATGGCTAGAGTCAAAGCAACAGGAGTTGGGTGGTTGCTCTATTGATCCTTTGGGTTGTATTCGAGCATCGACAACTATATTAGCATTTTCCATATATCACCTCGTATTTAATTCTCTAACCGTAACTAATTACCTACGTTTTGTAATGCGCATGACCACACGGCATTATATCAAACTTTACTGCAAAAAAAATTGGTATAAGAAGTATAAAAGTAAGTTTATTTAAACAATATGGAAATGTAGACATACTTTTGTATGTTGTCTCCTATTATTATATAAAATATTGTAAATCATGGCTGCCTGAACATATACTTTGATAGCCGCTTGGCGGTATAGGTGTATTATGCGACGTGTCTGTATATTTTACGATAGTGTTAGCGCATAGTGAGTTTTTAAGAAACTCATTAGAATTAGGAACGGCAAACCCTACAGGCAGTATGGTTTTGCGAGTTGCAGCGCTCCAAGTAGCGACACCTAATAATTGGCGCGCTTTAACGTCGACAACAGCCCCTCCTTCAACGCCATGGTATCTTTTACACTTTACGTCGTTCGCCTCATGTTCTTGTAGAGTGCAAGAGTGGTAGCACGGCGTATAGAATCCTTTTATGCCACCTACAGATAATATTGTGGGGCACAAGTTAATGTCAACGACTACGTCGAGCTCGCTTAAATAATATTTAACAGCCGCCGCGTTTTCTTTCATTGCCTGTGGAACAACAAAAGTTTGTAAATTTAACTCGAGTAATTTTACACTCTTCCATTTAACACACAAAATTCTTTGAACAGTTATCTATAATGGCCCAATTTCATGGCATAGCTGTAGGGCGTGTGTAGGGCTGTCGCTTACCGTACAATATTTTTTTCAAACCTTGTCTGTGGCGAAACCGACGACTTTATATACGCCATGCGTTGTGGGCAGATTCCAATCGGCGAACCATTTAAATCCTTCTCCAGTCCTGTAACCCATCACAGGGTTTATGCTCGATACATCATTATACTTCTCTTCATCTACCGCTTTTACAATTATCCACCCGATATCATCAAACAGTTGTTTCGTTGTATTATCCGATAGTATGAAAGCGATCGCTGGCAACCGGCTATTTTGATATATCACAGTTGTTTGTGATACTTTTAAACTGGAATACAAAATCCCATCCAAATTCATAACACTCTTGATAGGCAGAAACGTAGATTTTGACTAAAATGTGTTCAAGTAGGTACTTAGAAATCTAGTAAATAAACGACATTGTCTAGAGTACGTGGTTCACGGTGGGTAGGGAGAAGCACTTAAGTTTTTTTTTTTCTTAATCAAAATTCATATTATTAAACAGAGACTTAGCAAATGTTTAACCTAGCATGAAGTTCTGCGGGAGTAATATCGTATTTTCTCCTAGAAGGTAGTACGTAGGTTTGCTTATTCTCAGTATAATATGAATTTGGACTAATACTTAAATTGCAATTTAGCGTAAATTTACTCTGAAGCTAAACCTTGTTTAATAATAGCACTGTAGGTGTAAACAACTGGACGGTATTATTAATAATGTGAAAATATATCACTCGAAAAGCTGCGACTGTACATAATAATTACCTAAAAATGCAACCCGCTGAAGTAATAAATATTCTACGGCCAATGCAAGAGGCTGTGCATATGTGCGGTAAATAATCATCCGAGTGCGTTACTCGAGCTATCCATGGATAATCCGAATCTGCCTTTTTAGTTGAGCTCATCTCAACATTCATCAAATTAGGAAAAACTGGAATCAAATATATATAATCTCCTTACAAAACCGTTTAACAGAAGCAATGTCGTAAAAAGAGGCGAAAATATGAGGCGTTCAATAAGATTCATAAAAAAATTAACATCATCATCGATTAAAGAATATAAATATTTTTTAAATTTCTCTAGCGTTTTGCCAATAAACAAGTTGACGGTGTGCAAGCACCGTAATTAGAACGGAAAGACCTTATTAAGCCCGCACTAAACACATGTATTTTATATTTTTTAATTCGCATATTTGAATACAAGCGGTATTCAAATATGTGACAACAGATCACGACTTGGTGATTAATGTCGGTGAAAAGGCTGGCGTATATTTCTATTATCATTGGCGTAACTAGGGAGTTTTCCTAGGGGGTTCCATGACCCCAGCCGTGAATCTAATGAATAATGAAGTTATTTTATGTATGAGGGAGGATATTTTTTAAGGTGGGCCCAATCCGGCTCATGTGTCCAAATTCACGTCACTAAGTGAAGAAATTCTATAGATTCCATTTTTTTATGTATAAAAATACAAAACAAAATTGATTGAATATACGTGTCTCGGATATTCCAATGTTATTTCGAAACTCACTTCACAATTCACATATGCCACGAAACGCTACTACTAATTCAAGATGGAGTGGATGATGCTGCATTTTGAAGTGAATTCAGACAACTGAGTGAATTCAACTTCGGGTTTAGAACTTTACAGAAATCGGGGCAGAGCGGCTAAATAACTTGATTACTTATAATCTTTTTTCAAACCTTGTCTGTGGCGAAACCGATGACTTCACATACACCATGGAACAAATTCCAATCGGCGAACTGGGTCTACTCACTTGTTTCTGACAAATCCCAATCCTCTTGCCTTCTTCTCGGCATTAACAGAGCTTCTAACGATTCTAGATCGAATGCAGACCCTAAATGCGCACATACTAACAATAACATTATAATATCAAGCTCGCGTTTGATGCTTGTTCTTTTACAATGCATTTGGTGTAATTTTCTGGATTCTTATATCTATCTATGCCAATAATTCAGTCATCGATACTCTGAAAGTTTGCTAAAAGTTAATATAACCCATCAATAAAATAATGGCTAGAGAGATATCGCGTTCCTGAAAAGCCAATGTCACCGGGCGGTGAATATATTGTTCTTCAGCAATACAAACTTAGTAGTTTGTTCACAAAAAAAATGTTATTTTGACCCTTCTATGCTGCGGAAGGCACGTTAAGTCTGTGGTCCCAGTTGCAAAACATTCGTTTACATCGCACTGGCCTCGAGAAAAATTAGTTGAAGAATCATATTTAACCCACTATCCTCTATCGCTGATATTTCTTCTACGACTAGCTACACTTTATCGAACCAACACCAATAAAAATGAAACTCGATAATATTTAAATTAAATTGTTTTATTACAGCATTATATTTTACACTCTTGTGTCGATAAAATAATATTTTTCACTTACAATTTAATACACTATAGAAACTTTGGCAGTTGAAAGTACCTTACATAGTTATACTACAGTAAGAAAAAAAGGTTGGCATTTTTTTTTTTTATTTTTACCCTCTATAACCGTGGTGACTTTCATAAATATCTAAACTTTTAAAGTGGGAATGTTATATATTTAAACTTGTAAAAGCGATTCAAAACGTTTCTACCAAAGTTTCCATAATTTAACATAATAATATTTAAATTAAACGATCTCATATTTGTCAGCATGGAAGCTTATCTCCTTAGAGAAGTCGACCGGTGTACCGTCTTCCGCTTGCGTGACCTTCGTAGCTGTCAACATGGCCAGTGACGTGTCAGAAGTCCAAGTGACATTCAGTGGGAAAAAGTCATTGGGAACAGCTGGACTTACACTGAAAATTAATATGTAACATTATATATGACCAATTTTGCAATGAGGAAGTATTAAAAAAAACGAAAGCGCTAAAAAGCACCTCCACTAGATGGCGACTCTAGCAAAAGTTATTATTATTATTTATTATTTGCAGAATGGACCAAAGGCAGTCATTGCCTTTCCTTTTAAATAACATATCAAAAAACTGAAATTAGAAAAGTTCGAAACTTAGATATTAGTACACATACGAAAAAGTACAAATAGAATACGAGTTGTTTATTTAGTTTTGAAAACTAATTTACTTTTAAACTTGAAGGAAACCGGAAAGGTTGTCATGGAGAAATCAAGAACGTACCGTAGCGACATCTAGTTTGATTTCGGGAACTAATGTTTTTTTTTTAAATACTTCCTCATTACAATGCTAATTTGCATTCACAATCATGGGATCTCAGAGTACCAATACAGTGAGAGCCCGCGACGCCCAGACCTTCGTTATATTATAAAAGCTGAAAATTCTTCTATACATGTCTCCTATACAGGTATAAACAAACCCAGCCTATACAAATATAAAAAACCATATAATATACTAAAATGTTATGTTAATAAAAAACGTTAGCTTTACAAAAATCTGATATAATTCAAAAGTTTGGTTTTGTTCATAACAGTTTTGCCAAGTGTCATGTTAATTCGTTTCTACTAATCATGTATTACGAGTGATGCGATTTGAGTTACTCGGGTGAATTTTTCAATCTCTTACTAGAGTGAAAAATATATGTATGTTAAAAATATGTCTACTCGGTTTATCGAGTCAACTCCGCGCATCGAGTTGATTGATTGTGTTGACATTAAATGTCATTTCGTTATTCTAATTTTTTTTTTATTATTACCTAAATAAATAATATGACAAAATTATTTCAATGTGTATTTTTATTTTGTATTCATTAGGTATTTGTTTAAAATTACTAAAATAAATCTAATTCAATTGCAAACTTGCAATTCAAGTGAGATCTTCACTGGTGTGACTCGAGTGAGGTAGTTGAATGACTCAAGTGACTCGAGTCCTAAAATCCTATTGGAGTCACATCACTAATAAAGAGTTAATTCAACAAGGTAATAAGTATTTGACACTGATATTTTTATTTGTGCAAAATGCTCAAATTTGTCACATTGAAAAATTTCACTAAAACTCCAAGCACTATTACACGTACCACAGAGTAATTCTAATTAATAGCGTAAATGTCGTTACTCACGTGAATTCTAGAGTGCCGGTCTTCTGTTGGGCGTTCACTATCGGCACTGACCACACTAGGGTGCGTCCCTTCTGTGTATAACTTCCTTCCCACTGGTGCACCACCAGGGATATGTTACCGGAACTACTGCGAATATAGTTTAACATAAAAACACATTACCTTTATTAAATAACTAGCTTTCCGCTAGCGGCTTCGCCTGCATAGTCGCTGGGGAACTGTTTATTTGGTTATAGATTCATGTCATGACACATAATTGCAATAACTGAATAGTAAACAAGGGTTACTATGGTAACGTTTTAATTCCCTATACAAAAATCTTCATTTTCATCACTTTATTTGCTGTTCTTCGAGATAAAATGTAGCCTTTGTTCACCGCATTTGATGGAGCTTCCTGACGATGTCTTTTATTTTAAATCGGTCCAGTCTTTTCGGAGCCTATTCGTTGCAAACAAACAAACAATCAAAAAGAAAAAAGTTTGCCTTTGTGATTGGTTTGAAGTAGGTATATTGATTTTTATAATAATAACAATAGATTATTTGCCAGAATATGGAACAAATAATATTAATTAGGTACATTAGTTTCACACATTCTACTGATTACAGTTTTGGTATTTGTATCATAAATGCTTATAAAAAGAATAATATGGATAAGATAAATTATTGCTACTACTAATTAAAACGTTACCCTTTTACTAGTTAAACTATTCTTTGAAATGACACAGTTTTTGAAGTTTTAAGTTTAATATTTATTCATTTGCTACTAAGTCCCAGAAAACAAATAATAATAATAATAATCAATATATTCCATATGAATGAAATGAAGGAATTTCCATATGAATGTGAATGTCTATATAAAAATTAAATTACTTTGACTTTAGTGGTTGGCGTAGAAAAATGTATCTAATAAAGCCCATTTTCATGTAGAGTTTGTTATATTACGTGTTGGTTTGAATTTGTAATGACATGTGAACTTATGTACTCTATTTTCACTCTAAAGTCTCGAATCAGGAAAATTATTAGGTATATATCTGTTTCTAGCATAACCTTAATTATACACTTACGGTAGAGGTATATTGATATTGACGTCGGAAAGAGACAAATGATCCTGCTCTAACTCGTACTCGATGTTGACGTCACACCCGCCGTTAACGCCCTCTGACGGCCAACAGTTCACTGCGCAACAAATTTATAATTCTAGAATTCACTGATAGTAGAGTATCACAAAGATTTGGGAATTTTTTGTCCCTCAGTAAGAGAAACTCGTGAGAGTGCTTAGAACAACTATATTTGTTAGCATTCATTTATTACTTTATATGACTATTGACAGATTTTTACCTTCCCCCTTGCTACATGAAAGAAAAATATAAGAATTATTACTTCTGAATATAAAGGAGTGGCTCAGTGGCGTGGCGGATAAATATCGCGGCTCGATATCGTTGTTGTTAAGCAACTTTCGCAAGGGTCGGTCACGGGATGGGTGACAAAAAAATTACAATCTCGAGCTACTCCTTGCTTCAGAAGGCACATAAAGCCGTTGGTCCCGGCTGCATTTGCAGTCGTTAATACCCTCCAATCCACATTGGGCCAGCGTGGCGGCTCATCACCTTGTGCGTTGACAATCTTAGTACATTTGCCAAAACGAGATTTTGACAACTGATAGATAGATATTGTAGACCCCATTGAAAGACCCTTGTAATAACTGATAGATATTGTAAACATTTTAGATTCACTTTACTATGTAAAACCTTTGGTTTGAGGTAATGATTTACAATTTTTGATAGTCTAAATCTAGTCACGTGATACATGTAACAGTGATTCCGGTAACCTGACAGCGGCGCCATCTTGTCGTCGCCCGCGTGCGTGAGTCGCCACTTGAGTACACCGACGTCACTGTGCAAAGGGAACGGTCGCTGGCTCTGCTTCAAACCAATAACACCGGACGAACGGAACGCCTCCTTGTCCACATTCGGGTGGGTCTAATGACAATTTGAATAAGGTTCAAATTCATTTTTTAGCCACAATAGGGGATCGGACAGCAATAACATAAACAAATTTAATTAAAAGATTATTTGCCAAATATTTTTGCTAAATAATAATTATTTAAATTTTGAAATCAATAAATGAATATATGGTTTTCCAATATTTGTCTGTCTCGTGTCAAATGAAACACTAATCAGAGCGCGTGATGTCACTTGTGGGTCAATTGGATAGTACTGTCTAGGAAAAGTGTGGGAAACATTCAAATTCAAAATAATCTTAATGAATTCATTGTTAACAGGTTACAAGGGTCAGTTTATTATAAGTACTGAAGAAGATAATAATTTTTTTTTTTACTGAAAATTACTTCAGAAATGATGTCACATCCTCTGAGTCGCCGTATACGTGGTTTTTTAAATAGTTAAATTTTAAACATAGTTTTAGTTACATAATGAGGTTTATTTATAGAAATTAATAAATTTTGAGGGAATAAGCGCCCATAATGATTAATTTAAAACAATTTTTAGGCAGTTGTCCGATCACATATTATTAAGGAAATATAGAACAAATCACCATGGTTACATAACAATGACAATAAAAGGTAATATTACACTATATCATGCTTCAAATTTAGTGTCACATGACTTTACATAAAATGAAATTAAATATGATTAGCATATGATGTAGCTATGTCCCTTAGAAATATTTTTTAAAATTAGTATGGTAGTTCTATTCAATACAAACATAAAAGCAATCAAATCTTTCTAATATATAGTGTTATATCGTGTCATAGACACTATGGATGCAGCTGTGACTTATGCCTCTATCTTGTGCCTCTTCAAACAGATTTAGGTGTAGTTCACACATGTCAGTGACATATCAGTTCTGTCATGGTGCCATACATTGAAGTTTTACCCCTTTTTGAACAAAGAATTCAATAAGAATTCATATAATTCAAATTTAATTAAGATGAAGATAGAAACATATTAACATCAAAATATACAAGGGCCTAATGTACAGTGGCGTAGCTAGGTAACCTAGGGCCCTGGGGCAAATAAAAAATAGGGCCCACTCCTATCAAAACTGGTAAGGTTTTTTGAAGTAAAATCATTAAATATACAAATACTTTAAAAATGCTAAGCAACTTTATCATCGGCTCTTTTTCGTGCATGGGCAGGTAATAAACTATTTAACACTAACATAAATTACAATTATTTTTATACTTGGTGTAGGTATTGGGCAATAAAACGAAATAGAAAAGATTCAAGGGTTTATTATATATTTATTTATTCATAGATACGTTGTACCAGCTTACTGTTATTTAAGCTATCGCCATGCAAGCTATTTACAAAAAATATCAATACAAATATTTTGTCCAGAAGTACTTGCAGAAGGTTAACTAAAAAACTTGTCAATTTTGGGCAATTTTGTTTACTTTCTCCTCTTTCTTGGCGTTCTTTGCGTTTAAATGCACCACTGGGTTTCTTTTTTTTGTTCATAATACTAGTTTTCTTATTTATTTTACAAGTAAAAGGAGCGAAAAGCGAAACGTAATGATACGATATAAGACGTCGTTGGGGAATCACTGGCAAACATTTTATCGCCGCCAGTGTTACCAAAATGACAAAAAAAACATCACGTAATTAATGGACGGCCCCCTACTGCATGTGACTTGTATTTTTTACGGTATTTTGAGTTATATAGTGAGTAGCCGAAATCAATCGATTTCTTGACGTAACTATGAATACGTACTATAATCAAATAAAAAAAATATTGACATACTCTTACTTACTTCTGATACATTAACTTTTTAACCATTCTTCAAAAAAAAAATCTTGACTCGAAGTTCACAATCGCGAATCACAAAAACGCAGATATTGATATCCGACAAATTGATGAAAACATTAATAACACTGTCAACCCACACAAACAATTTAGGGGAATTCCCTTTTTATAACTTTGGAATTTCTCCCAATTGAGTTGTCATGATTAAACTCGAGATGTCACCTGTCATATTTATTTTGAAAATGGGAGAAATTTTCAAAGTTGTGTTCGATTAAGATTTTCTGTTAAAGATTCGAGGGCCCCCTGAGCTTGAGGGGCCCGGGGCACTGCCCCGCCTAGCCCCTTGGTAGCTACACCACTGCTAATGTATCCACCTCCCAAATAATTTTGAAAGCGAATAATAATTAAATTGCTTATATAGTTTTCCGATATTTAATATATAGTTTGAATTAGAAAATCTGTTATATGGATATAACCTATCTATAACATAGTGCAAAGTAAGTTGGATATTTTAACTCCCATTTAATACCCTTTTTTACCCGACTGAGCTACGCAAAGGAGGGTAATGTGTTTATGAGTCTTTGTATGTATGATTATTCCTATATAGATTTTAAAACTATTTCAATGAGACAGTTATTCAGTAGTACTTAATAACAGTCCAAACTACTGCGCATGTTTTTTACTTTTTAGTCAATTTTTACTTCTTTCTTTTACTACGCAGTCGGGATTTTTTGTCTTTTATAATATATTTTTTTTTATATGCAAGTATCACAAATATGTAATAAGAAAAGTTTTTATAGAAGTATGGTAGATTATCCTAAGCCTGATGTGTTTTTTTTTTCATATATTTTTTACATAAAAATAGAGATTTGAATGTTGTTACTTACCTGTAGCTGCAGCGACCTGGAATCCTTATTGTCGACGTGTACGCGAATCTTTCCGAATTGCTCGTTGCTAATGCGCAGCGTCAACAGACCTTGACAGGAATGTACAATATATATGAGGTTACACTTCAAAATAATTCCATAATTACAATAAACACAAGATATATGTTTATATATCACCAAACCAAAAATAACACCAAAAATAATAGGATCAGTGAGAGTTTTTTCACTGATCCTATTATTTATGGTGTTTTGACATTATTTATTTTTTATTTATTATCATAAGACACACTAACAGTACAAAAATCGAAACAATAATTACGTAATCACCAAGAATCACATCTGATATTTGCACCAATTATAAGCGTGTACAGCATTGGCAAATTGTGTCACAATTGAAATAAATTTAATACAAATTTACAAATTATAAAATAAAATAATAATTCTAATTGATTAAGAATACTCAAATATTACAATTAATACATTGCAATGTTAAATTCTACTTAGTCATATAATACAAATAAAAAAAAAAATTTAGATATGTTGATATTGCATGTCAGTTTGAAATAAAATTAGCTTAAAAGAAATAAATAAAAGTGATTAATTTAAGTAATAATAATAATAATCAAAATTGTTAATAGAAAGATACTCAAAATCTACCTCCCGAGGACAATGATTCAAGTACTCTATCCCTGAAAGTTGACAACGAAACATGAAAGATATCGATATTATCTTTGCTGTTCAATCTATTATATTCTTGGCACATTCTTACTAATGGCGAATTGAGACCGAGATTGGTTCTAACTAGTGGAGTGTGAAAGGTTTTTTTTAATGGTTGACGGGGAATTTTGCTAGGCACAGACAATGCAATACCATCGACTATATCACTGCAATTTAGCTGATTATGAACGACCTTATATAAAAAGAGCAAATCATGTAGTTTCCTGCGATCTGATAGTGAGTTCATTTTAAAAAAACTAAGACGTTGATCATAGCTACAACGGTGACTAATTCCTTGCGAGAAAAAGGCCAGATGCCGTGTAAAAGAACGCTGGATTCCTTCAATGCGCTGAGAGTATACGCTATAGAATGGACTCCAAACAGCACAACCGTACTCCAACGAGCTTCGGACCAATGCATTAAATAGTACAATTTTTGTGCGAGTATGTTTGAATCCTCTAGTGTTCCGCTTCAAAAACCCAAGCATTCGAGCAGACTTTTCAACTATGTGATTGATATGGGCAGAAAAGCGAAGCTCCCTGTCCATTATTACCCCAAGATCTCTCATTTCGTTCACCAACTGTAGTGTAACTCCATCAATTTCATAACTCGAAACCAACGGTGTTTTTTTCCTAGAGAACCTCATATGAAAACACTTTTTGATATTTAGTTCCATATGATTTTCATTACACCATAATTTAATTCTATTCAAGTCTTCTTGAATTTTTTTGATGTCCGATACGGATTCGATTGCTTTGTAAAACTTTAAGTCGTCGGCAAATAAAAGGAATCTGCAATGTCTGATTTCATGCATTATGTCATTGATAAAAATAGAAAAAAGCACGGGGCCCAGATGAGAACCTTGAGGCACACCAGAAACAGCAAAATAGGTTTCCGATTCATACCCACTAAAGGAAACCATCTGGAGTCTTTTTGCAAGGTAGGATTGAAACCAATGCAACAGGGATCCAAACACCCCAAATGCCCTCAACTTGCGTATAAGTAGTGAATGATTTACTTTGTCAAAAGCGCTGGAGAAATCCGTATATATTACATCAATCTCACGACCTCCATCGAGTTCCATAGACAAATATGATGTAAACAAATGCAAATTCGTAACAGTGGAGCGGCCTGACCGAAATCCATGTTGCTTAGTCGACAAAATACTCTCGACGTGTGATGTTAAAATAGGACAGACTAGCGACTCGAAGAGTTTAGAGAAACACGATAATATGACAATTGGACGATAATTTCTTATGTTATTTCTATCGCCCTTTTTATAAAGAGGAAGTATTCTAGCCCGTTTCCATTCATCCGGAAAACAGCCATCATCCAATGATCGATTGAAAATGATAGACAATGGAAGCGCCAACACTGCAGCACAACGTTTCACGAAAAATGCAGGAATGAGATCAGGACCTGCACCCTTAAAAGTATTCAATTGTTTTATTTTTTTAAGAACCTCGCGTTCGGTAAATTTAATGGTGCCCAAACTTGCGCTATAGGTAACAAAGTTATCAATATTAGATAAAGTTTCATCATTAAGACTGACACTGCTGTGCACAGAAGAAAACTGGCTCGAGAAGAGATTTACAATGTCAGTACCCGTGTCCGCAACCACATCATCTCTATACATAACAGCAGGTATCTCTGACACCCTGTCTCCCTTATTTTTGATGTAACGCCAAAAAGCCTTAGGATGCTGTACAATTTCAGACTCAATGGTTTGTTTATAATGCGAGTAACAGCTTTTATAAAGCCTATGGCAGTGTCCCCGAACAGCCTCGTATGATAACAAATCACGAGGGTTTCTATATTTGCGGTATTTTTGTCTTAACTTTTCCTTTTCAGCAAGTCTTTTTATTAAACAATTGTTAAACCAAGGTGGAAACTTCAACTTGGCAGTTTGATACCTGGGTACATGACATTCGATTGTGCTGCAGAGAATAGAGTACAGGGCTGAAACCATAGCATTCACATTATCACATGCAAAAAATTCAGAATTCCAATCAATGATTCCTAAATCACAAATTATCTTGTTATAATTAGCCTTAAAAAAATTTAAGCCATATTTTGTACTAGGTGACAAAAATTTGAGACCGTTTTTAAATGACAAAGTAACCAGTAAGCCCGGATGCCTCCTGTCCAATCCACTCAAAAGATCAATGGATTCCTCCACATGAACACCGGTACAATTACTTATAACTAAATCAAGTATTCTATTATCACAGTTGAGAATGTTGTTGTACTGATGAAGATCATTAACAGATAAAAAATCGACAAAGGTATAACCTACAGAATTTTCATAGTTTGATGGACTCATATGGAACGAATCGTTATCAATGACCCAATTTATGAAAGACAAATTGAAATCGCCCAAAATTATCACATCGTCAACAACATTCATAACATTGGTCACACTGTCCAGAAACCCTGCCAATTTGTCAGGACGAGGTGGCGGAGGCAGGTATACTGCACAAATAGCTAACTTCATATTCTGGCCATTAACATTAAATATAAGGCTTATCCACAGATCTTCGCCATCGCCTTCCCAAATATTCATTCTTACAGAAGGTATATCGCGCGACACGGCTATTAGCACCCCGCCCCCGTCCCTCTTACCAGAACTTGACATTAAAAATGTATTTACAATACCACATTATCATATGCTGTCTCTCTCTGCCTGTTTATAGTTTAATTTTCAATGAGATAAGACTAAACTGACGCTTAGTGGGTTGAGGTTGTGGTCATCAGTCCTTTTACGTCTCCACTGCAGGGGCTCAGGCCTTCCTTATGGTTGGTTAAGGAGGATTGGCCATGACCATCCATGCTGGCCCAATGCGGATTGGAGGATATTGACGACTGCAAATGCAGCCGGGACCAAAGGTTTAACACGCCTTAAGAAACACGAAGTAGCTCGACAAAATAATTTTTGGTCACCCATCCCGTGATCGACCTTTGCAAAGGTGGCTTAACATCAACGATCGCGGGCCACGGCGCTTATCCATAACGCCACCGAGCTACTCCGTGGTCTGAGTGATAGGAAGTTATCCATTATATTAAGTTATAGAATATTCATATCCGCTCACCTGACAGCTCGAAGTTTTGGATATCACCATCTCGACCGGCCACCAAATTGAGACGCTCTTCAAATCGTAAGTGTACACTAGAAAATACCACAATAATTTAGTAATACTACACAATATTCTATAATTTAATTACATTGTATGAGCTACATTTCCCGACCTACCTACATATATTTCCCGACGTTTCGAGCAGGTTACACCGTCGGGAAATATAGGTAGGTGATAAACCGACACCCGACATATACAATTTAATATAATGCAACGCGAAACTTTAAAACTTCTATAATTAGCTAGATGACTCAATGTTAAGCGAAATCACATTACAGAAGTACGTTACAGATCAACGATTACAAAAGTTCAGTCACATTCACAAAGGATGGTGATGGATATTCTGGTAATAAGGACGACGATTACTTCTTGTTTGTTTGTCCATCAGGTAGATTAATGAAGAATATTAAACACGTATTTTTCATTTTAATCTGCGTAATCAATAAATTAGGGTAATAAATTGATTTGAAATGTCGCATCACGTCACGATTTTGTATATTTTCTACAAAACGGTGACGTAACAAGCCCCTATCAACTTTAATGCCTACTATCTAAGTCATTTCTTGTTAAACTGAAGCAAAATAAAATACGTATCTAATATTTTTTTATTTTCTGTAGTCATTATCCGTATTAGGAGGGTGGTTTATTATCTCGGGCTTCTCGGCGTTCAGAAGGCGTCAGCAACAAACGTGTAATGCTAAACGCATATTTTCAATAATTTGAGTACAGGTTATTAGTTAGGGGGCCATTGCCCCAATTGCTAAAAGTTTAAAATATATGAAAATTCTCCTCATCTGTTCATTGTGACAAAAGTTAAAGGTGATATCATGTATTTATGTGATTATTTTTGACGTTTTCTCTCGATTAATGATTTATCGATGTATGAGACGTAGCAACGTGCGAAAAACTAAACGTCAACGTCAGCTGCGAGAGCAAACCACTACTGGTGTTTACTAAAATGTGACGTCACGAATCAAAATGTCACGTTACTTACTTTAGAGGGACAATTTGAATTACCAAATTAAAATATGTTAAATAATGCCTTTCGGAAAAAAATAGATCTGTTAGTGATCTAGTATATAAAATGTTCGTGTCATACTTTAAGTTACTATATTCCTCTGAAATGGCTTTAATGATTTTAATGAGATTATATCTGTTCCTAGGTCTGAGCATAGGTTGTTATTTATTTTTTATATCCCAAAATGATAAAGGTCCATCCAAAAATTTTCTTTTACTATCTGGACATTATTTTTCGTTTTTAATGGTAGAACAACGTCTGCCGGGTCAGCTAAATGCGATTTTCAGTAATAAGCATTTAAAGTTCAAGAAATTGTAATCCGCCTCTTTAAACAACGTATCGTCACTACGCCACCTAGCAATTTCTATGCAAACTACTTTCACAGGGATCATTGCATTTTAAAGTTTATACTAAACAAAGAAAAACGTTATCTAAAGTAAACAATACGTTATTTTTGTTTAGTGACATTGTCATTCTCAACGTGCGGTTTAAAATATTGTAAAAACCATCGAGTAGCCTATTATTAGATTAGTATAGAAACAAAAAGACTATTTTTGTAAAAACCATCAAGTAGCCTATTATTAGATTAGTATAGAAACAACAAGATTATTTTTGTAAAAACACTCGATGGTTTTTACAAAAATAATCTTGTTGTTTCAAAAAGACTATTTTTGTAAAAACCATCAAGTAGCCTATTATTAGATTAGTATAGAAACAAAAAGAATATTTTTGTAATAACAATCAAGTAGCCTATTATTAGATTAGTATAGAAACAAAGTCTCACTCCTTGTGGTCGATATTGGCGGGCGGGTCGTGTGCGGCCGCGACGGAGGCGGCAACGGGTGCGTTCGCTGCGACATCGCCCTCGGAGCGGAGCCGCGACACGAACGAGTCCGCGTCGGTACCGCGTGACCCCAACTTCATGGCGGAACGACCCACCGGCCGGCTGTGTAACACCACCGAGTGTTTTCTTATTATATGACAGGACTTTAGTTAAGTATACTGAACAAATTTTACTATGCACACTGAATTCACGAAAAAAATAATCAGCTGTTTCATAATGTCACCGATTAGGCAGTATTACAGTTTTGTGTACACCTTAACGTGAACCGGAGTGCGAACCAATCGGCTAACAATCGCGAATCAATAGAGTAGAATAAAATAAAGGTTACCAAATTAAATAACAAAATACAACACACAATAGTATGCTAATAATTCAAAATGATTTAATATCTTAAAATTAAATAATTTTGAAATATATAAAAGAAATTACTTGTCAGTTGAATAAATTAATCACGTAATTAAGGTCGAATAATTTTAAATCTAAACTAACTTCTTCAAGTTCTGTTATCCTAGTACTTTTATAAGTTATCATTTTCTCTATTACTAGATGTAGGTAAATTAGTAGAATAAATAAACGAGACCGTTTAGAATATAATAACACTCACGTATCCCTTGCAGGAGTGGTTGGTGTCTCTATCAAAGGCTCTTTAACTGACGCTGATGACATAGTGGAACTGCCAAAACCGCTACCTAAATGAAAGAAAAAACAAATACGTTATCTACACAGAAATAAACACTTTCCCAGTGCTGGGGAGCGATTTCATTAAAATCCAAACCCGAATTTGAATTCACTCATGTGTCCGGATTCACGTTATTTATAATTTATAAATTCTATTGATTCCATTTTTTCTTAATAAAAATACAAAACAATATTGACTGATTATACGCGTCTTAAATATTCTATCACCATGTCATTTCGAAACTCTCTTTACTTATGCCACTCATTAGCAATTCAAGGTTGAGCGGATGCCGCTTTTGAAGTGAATACGGATACTTGTGTGAATTCGAGTTCGGATGTATACAGAATCGCGCGGCTAATCTCGTATTTGTTATACCATAGCAGTTTTAATCGGCGAACCTGAAATTATTTGCTGTTAGACCATATTTCATCAATATATTGGTAAAAGGCCTGAGCTTTCCCTATTCCATTAACTAATTGACAGTTTTAACAATAAATTATGAAAATGTTGGAAATTGTAACTTATATGTAAACAAAAACGATGTAGTATTTTTTATTTAATAAAAATGTAAGTAGTACCACTGATACACATAAACTATATATTTATATTTTTGCATTTTTATTTATATTATATTTTTGCAAAATAGCTTTTACTACTTTTACTTAAAATATACATGCGATTTATAATCTGTGGTTTACAATCACCGAAAAGCAACGGCTATGACGGAGCATCGTGTGACGTCATATTTCAATAAACTAAACATCAACGCCTGTTGCAAGAGCAACTACTACTCATGTTTATTGTAATGTGATATCACGGCTCGCAGTCACGTGTCTTGATTGTTTACGTAGAGCATTTAAAACTATATAATAAAATAAAAATATGTTTTTCCTTTATTTAATAACACTGTTTGGGACAATATAGATCTGATAGTGGTTCAATAAAATACTTTCCCCAAAACAGTCATGTAGCCATTTATGTACATATGGTTTGTTTAACATAAAATGTCGTATATTCATGAAATGATAATATACCGAACGACATCTGTGATCGGGGCGGTGCACCACGCTTCGCGGCTTCCAGCCTCTCGCGCTGTAACTCCTTAGCACGCTCTCGCATGCGGTTAGCTGCCTCGCGCTCTTGTGTCTATATTTAAAATTGACAAACTCATAAAATAATGTCACGAAACAGCAGTAGCCAGTATATCAATGACGATGATTTTGTTCCCACTCTCTGTTGGAAGGTCATCCTGAGCCAATTAACTACTTTATTTCTATATAAGAAACACCACCGTAGTTATTATCACAACAAACAAATTTATAATTGTATTTTATGTATCAGTGTACTCAAACTGGTTGATTGAATTTAGTTTACTACTAATTTTGAGTTGACAATTTGGATTAGATGTACTATTTAGTTTTATTAGTATTTTATTTTAGTATTATGTATTATTTAGTTTCATTAGTGATTAGTTGAGATTAGTACTAGTTAATGCTTCAAATAAAGGAATGATTAGTGAATTAAAAATACCTGTCTGACAGCTTGATAGATCTTTTCCTCATGAGAGTCCATCTCAACAAATGATCGAACCTGAAAATTCATCAATAATATTATTTTATAAGAATTTATTAGGAATATAAACAAATAAATGTCAAAAAATTTACCTGTGCCAAATTGACACTCTCCCGGTATCCCAATGCCACAATTTCATCGAAAGCAAAAAGAAGATTGAATGCTTGGTTCAACACCTCGGCTTCAGTCAACTGGGCGCAATACTCTGGCACCTAAAATTACATTGTTAACAACAAGGTTTGTTTATAATCAGATAAGTAATTAAAATCAAACCAAATAGGGAGAATGGACCATGACCCACCACATACGCTCAGAGCTGGATATTCTGCAGATACAACGGGACCAATGGGTTGACGTACCAAAAAGAACAGAGGAGTTTGAGATAATAAATTTTTGGTTACCGGCTATTGCAAAAGTTGCTTAACAAACATATCACAAACTGAGCACACTGACCACAGTGCTATCAAGCTCCTCTATTTGATTTGATTTGTTCCATCCATAAGGAAGGCCTGAGCCCTGAGCGGTGGGGACATTAATATGCTGGAGCTAAATTTAAAATAATGTTTAAAAAATGTAAGTCTTCATTACTAATTAAATTCAAAATAAACTTTAAGTTGACAATATAAGGTATAAATAAATACAAATGATTACTATAAAAATAGACATCTTTTACTGATTAAATGATTTGTCATACCACTCTACTGAACAATCGAAGTGTCTCCAAATCCTCAAGGATATTACTTGCTTTTGTGGTGATAAGTAGCATATACAATTTGTCCAAAGGCTGGTACACATATCTGCAGAGAGAAAACATTGTAGTGGGTATATACAAAGCTTTTACATCACATTTTCATGGGTTGCTGAACATCAGATAATAATTATAAAATGGTGTAAATTATGTTGGTACCACTCTCTAAATTTATTAACTAAAAATATCTACCTTTAATTTGGATTTGTATTAATTTTATTCTATAGCATATTTAATCAAAGAAATATAATTATACTACAATATTTACTATCTAACAGTTTTATTAATAAAAAAGGTTTAGCATTGGAGTAAATTAACTACTGAGACTGCACTTAGTATTAATTAAAATTTATATTATTAGACAGAGACTTAGCAAAGGTTAACCTAGAATGAGGTTCTAAGGGTGTAACTTTTGCTCCTCGGTTTCCTTATTCTCTATATAATATCAATTTGAACTGTTACTAAGATTGCAATTTTAAAAAACTCGATAGCTACATTTACTCTTAGTTGTGTGTCAAATGTTTTATTAAGTTTTTTTTTTCATGAAATCAATACTGGGTATCTGAAAATTTTTAATGAATTTGCAGAGTGATTGGTTGTGAAAAAAAAAACTAAAAATTTGACAAATATCTCATTTACACTGTTTCTACAAAAAATACTGGCTTTTACTGATTTTCCATTTGATCAACATGACTGTGAATATTTATATTGAATAGCGTTAGCAACATGATCAAATAGTCTACAGTAATAATAATAAAGCTATATGCTATAGTTTGCACAACAGAATTGACATCAGTGTTGATTTGTTGAATAAGTACCTGACTGATTCTGTTTCAACAAATGTATGTTGTCGCCCTCCCGTCATTAGCTTTGGAAAAGCCGCTAGTAAGCCCTCTATACGTGCTTTCGTCATCTCCACGAATTGACGAGACACCAACGCTACAAAAGATTATTAATTTAATTATGTTTAACAGATTCGTAAAATGTTAAAATAAAATTAGTGAATTTATACCTTTTCCTGATTTTGTGCATACTGTAGCTGCTATGAGTACCTGGAATTGCAGGAAAACATGTAATATATAAGTCGCTTCAACTTATGACTAACTTTTCTTTAGAACAGATAAATTTATTATTCTCTTCATTGTAATAAAGACACCGATATATTTTATTAATTTATAATCTTCAATAATCACCATTTTACGAGGTATTCTAATAAAACAAAACAATAATCATGAAATATTTGGAAATGATGACAGCGACAGCGTAAACGAGATGACGTGTGTGACGCATGACATTGACTTACAATTCTTTTTTATATGATTACTATGGCCAAAGAATAAGTTTTATACTTGCTCACATTATGGCTTTATTAATTAAAAAAACTTTTTTTTTGCGCTTCGCGAAATAAGTAAAATAGTAGTATTATATTAATTATCAGAAAAACTTTATCCATTCCTGGATATTTTTTAATTCAAAGTCATACGTCTTTTACAAGGATGTTTCGGGTCCTATATTTAAAAAAATCAAATTCATCTCCACGAAGATCACTACTCTCATTATTAACACAATACAAATGCTCACGCTTTGTTAAACATTGCAAATAATCTGGCAAGACCAACAAACATTGATATTTGTTGACTTTGACGTACGCACCAAAACGCGTTATAATTTATAATAAACTATAAATGTGTATTCAAACTTTGTCCCTCAGATGAAATATCTAAAATAAGTCTATGCTTTATTTACAGTCACAAAAGCCCGAAATTAAATAAAAATTAAGATATAGTCTTCAAATTCATGAAACTTAAACATTCAAAGTCAAAGTCAAAATAATCTTTATTCAAATAGACTTCTTAAAAGTACTTTTGAATCGTCCAACATTTTTTTCTCTACCACTCGTTCAGGACGTCTTTTGACTGATAAGAAGAACGAGCAAGAAACTCACCAGCTCTAATAAGATCTCTTTAAAGGCCTGAAAACTTGTAGAAGCTAATTTTTTATAAAATGTTGACGCCTCAATAGCTTATAGTATAGCACTTGTTTAGATAATTCGTCAACGACTATTTGTTTCAAGTAGTATTTAAAATCATTTTTAACGATTTTCAAAAGTAGTTATAGAGAGAGATGAGTTGTTAGATAAAGAGATAAAGTGTATCATTGTCTATGGTAAGTGGTTGTATGATAGTAGTTTCTTACGCCATTCCTAAATAGAAAATCGACTTAAAAATATATCTATGGTGATTGTTTCTTGGGACGCCATATTGCTTTGATTTGGCGCTTTCTTGGTGATTAATTTTCGCGAGTAATGGTTAATTTGAGTTATTTCTGTATGTTTTGGTGCCGATAGAGTTATAACGTGCTAAGTTTAGTGTGATAACGTATTTTCTGCTGACATGGATCCAGCTAAAATGAAAGTCGTGGACCTTCGGTCCGAGCTTGGCGCTCTAGGGTTGGACACCAAAGGCAACAAGCCGGCTTTGGTAGAAAGACTAAGAAAAGCCCTAGAAGCTAAAACAGGAAAAGGTATTTACTATTTCATTTGTTGTAATGTATCATGTGTTGAATAAGTGTAATTTTATATTGTTTTAGACTACATCTTTGAAGCGTTCTATCTGCACGTGTGATTTTTGTGAAATGTTCTGTTTGATGCATGTTTTATTTTTCACATTATTTCATTAGTTAATCATTACTTAATCATGAAATTTTCAAGCCAACGAAATCAATCACGCAAGTCTTCACTGTTTCCAATGAAACTAAACAGATTATACCAGGAAATAACTCACAAGCAACTGTAGCAATTCTGTTGTATAAACTAGATTAAAATTGTTATAAAATTTCGTGGTAATTTACATTAATATCTACGAATAATTATCCACGAGATTGCTACCTATGAAAAATGTTACATATGTTCTTGTGTGATATTATCTTGATATTTTCCATTAGTTGCACCATTATCATGGTGCTTGCAACAGCATTGCTTTATTGGGGACTCAATAAATATAGTGTACATAGTAACAATGCTGTTCCCTACAACACTTTGATATTTAAGTAGTCCAGTTACTTTATAATGGGCCCTCTTTTAAGTTTACTTGAATCTTATGTTACATAGAAATGTTTCTTTGTGGTGTTTAGAGGTGTGGGAAAGTCAGCTGTGTATCTAATAACATTGGATGTACCACAGGGTTCATACCTTAATTCTACTGATATACCTAATCAAAGAGTGTGTTCTGTTTATTTATGCAGGATACAGACTGGCTGTAGAATGTCACTGAGCCGAAAGAAATGTCTGTTATTATATTTGATCAATTTTGAAAAATATATTAAATTTGATTGTAACATTACAAAAGCAATAATCATTTACATACAAACTTAATGGATTGGTTTTGTCAGAGGTTGATACTGCACAGGATTTTGGTGTAATATTAGACAACAATATGTAATTTTTTCCCCATATTGAGAATACTGTAATAAAGGCATAAAGAACACTTGGTTATGTCATCCCTAATATTAGGGATTTCTCATACTTTGAAACTAATTTACTGTACATAACAGCTTGGCGTGCAGTAATCTGAATTTCCATTAATAATATTAATCTCATTAATAAAAAATAAAAAAAAAACAGTTTGCATTTTATGAATATTTGATTGTGCAATATTGGATGTGCCGAAGGAGGTGTAAGAAAAGAAAGAATTAACACAATTATAATCATCAAAATTCTAATGTCACCTGTCATTACTTTGTGAGATGTAAAGATTTCATATTAATCAGATAGACGCGCTCAGAGCTATTTTTTTATTTTAACTAAATTCAAAATTTTACATATTTTATTATTGTTTCTATACGTGTAAAGACCATAAACATGACAGTGGCAGAATTGTGTAAATGCAAATAGGCCATGAATTAAAAAAGAAGAAGAAGAAGACTCCTTTAGCTCCGTTTTATATGTGATGTGATAAAAAAACCAGTTTTTCTCACAAAGGGGATTGTTTCTTTAAATGTTGATTTAATTTTAAGACATGAAAATCAATTCTATTTTCCAAAATATTTGTTTTATAGCCTATACTATTGGTCCAGTTGTTTTACAGAAAGTCAGCTCACATATAGGTATAATAGTTATTTTAATATTCAGTAACCAACTTGAAATTTATAAAATAAAATTACTTCATTATGTATGTTTATTACCTTGACATGCTTTACCATAATGTTTTATAACCATACATTTTATTGCTCACATAAACATTTTATGATAGCAAAATCTACAGGTTTGGAAATTACATGCATGTAAACACATTTAAATGTTGTATTTTATGTACATCACATTAAAATATAATTATTTTCTCCAGCACTAGCACGGACATCAATCCTAGACACATCTACTGAAGATGCAGATGAACCTGCAACTCCTAGGAAATCGGTGCCGGCTGCTAGAACAACACGACGGTCTTCATCTTCACGTATGGGTGCAACTCCAGCTAAAGTAAGTATAATATGTGAATACATTTAAATTAAAATGGAAGCTAACTAAATTTAATATATAGACCAAACTAGTGAAAAAGTGCAGCAATTCTCAATTGATTTCTTAAAATCTCTTAAAGTTAAAGAAAATAATATTTAATAATCTGGCAAACTTCTTATAGAGTTGTTTGTATGGGAAAAGAAAATAGATTTCTGCAGTTCTCATTTCTTAAATATTGCATTTAGCAACTATTTGTATTATTTTAACATGCAGAGACCTCGCGAAGAGCCACTTGAACCGCCTGTGGAGGAGGTGAAAGAGGAACCGGAACCAGAACCAGAGTCTGAGCCGGAGGTGGTGCCGGAGCCTGCGCCGGCTATTGCGCCAGAGCCCGCGCCAGCGCCCGTGCCTATGCCCGTGCCCGAGCCGGAGCCTGAACCCGAGCCCGAGTCGCCGGAGCAGCCGCCACCTGAACGGACCCCGCCACACCAGCCCGCCGCGTCCGAGATATACTCCATCGATGATGATAAGTGAGTGCATATAGCGATACAAATGAATACGGTTGCCAATAAGAGAAAATATCTGCAATTAAAAAATCCAGAAAATATATTAGGTAATATTTATTTTCATCAGGGAAATAAATTATTGAAAATTACATAATAATTGTGGTACATTTGAAATTCTCATATGCAATGCTATTTGTTAGAGCATATATGGGAATGTTACAAAAAAAATTGATGCAATTATATTATAATAAAAAAGGGCAGATAGATTACAAAAAGTGTCACCTTAAACCTTTGCTAATTAGCATCCCTGAGCACAGTCAGGCGAAAGCCTTGATGTACCTTAATCATTTTAAAAATGCCATCCTGTGTTGTACAAAACTGTAGAAAATATATATAAGTTAGTTGTCTGAAGATCAAGGGGGCATTTCATTCGTAATTTTACATTTTTAATTGATTTGCGTTATGATACTCCAGTTACAAATTGTGAAAGAGATCTGTCAAAGATTACGTAATAGAATGGACAATTTGACTTTAGTGCCTACACTCTTATCTTTAAAAATTTATAGAAGACTGAAACTTCGAAACTTTAACTAAAAATACACCGATTCCGATTTCAATCGAAGCCCTCGTGCTATTATACATATTATATCAGTATCAGGTTTATTACCCGACTGCGCGACGCAAAAGAGGGTAATGTGTTTATCAGTATGTATGTATGTATGTTTGTTTTTATGTGGCGTTCTAGAGACCAAATGCGTAGGCCGATTTTGATGATTCTTACGTCAATCGATTCGTCTTAACCTTGCGAGTGTCACTAAAGACATGACAGTACTCAAAATTCACCCATATTGTCTAATGAAAAAAATAAAAATCTATGAACTATGTCAAATGGGTATTTTAAAATCATCTTTAGGTTCCTTTTATCATTTTTCATTTTAAATAATAGTTTAGGATATATAACGATTTAAAGTTGTTTAACAAAACATTCTCGCTAATTTTCTTACTTATTGATTAAAGTTTTTATTTAAAGCATAAACAATATACAAACAAAAAAAAAAGTGAAAAAACAGTGAAAAAGCATGAAGAACAAATATTTTTGGTAAAATAATAAAGCATATGTAGCTTTGAGCCGAGTTAGGTCTCTAGAGGGACTTATCATCAGTAGTTTAGACCACCGCAAGTTACTTAATAATACCCACGATATTAACTCCAACTAAATCTTCCCAAGGGGCCCCGACTATGAGTCGTTCTGTTCTGTATTACTTAACAGAATTCTAAACTACTGGGCTTGTTTCTCTCTTTTTAGTTTTTATTTAAGTTAATTCTTTCATGTATTCATTTATTAAATTCGTTTTTTTTTTAAGTTGAACTGTCAATCGAAGTCTTTAACTCGTTTAGGTAAAAGACGACATTAAACACTCATCAAATCATTATACGTCTGGTCTGACTACTCAAAATTGATTTTGATATAAAATGTCACACATAGACATCATGACAAATGAAGCATATATATTTTTTTTCTTGTTTTAGGAGCCAATCTCCAGCACAGGTTAAAGAAGAGGAGCCTGAAGGTAAATGGACTATTATAATATAGAGCTAACATCATTTAGACCAGGGGCTCACTATTTTGCTAGTGTTAATATTTATTGTGACATGATAATGGGGTTACAATAAAAATAGCCTTTATTCATTGACTGTCTATTCCTTGTTTAAGATGGTTGTTGAGCATTCAAGTATGGAAAATTGGAGTCCTCCCTCCCCTATTCTTTTTTTGACGCTGAGAAATACCCATTTCACCCTGCACGAGCTTCACAGGTTATGTGGGGCTCTTCCCTGCGGATCAACCCACTAAACCCTATCTACCCACTAAAATCCCTTTTACAGGACAGGTTTCATTTCGAGTTAGGGGCAGGGCACAGGAATATTCGAATTGCCTGTCTATCTATATGGTACTAATAATTTGCAAAGCAGTCGTACCCCAGAAGTAGTTTCCTTAAGTAGTTACTTTTTATTAACTATTACGGGGCCCCATACAGACCCATGCTCTTCAAGACACTCGTATAGCTGTTTGCTTGTAATGGGTTTGTATTTAGTTTTTCCTATTCTGTGTATCTAGTAGCAGTTCTTGTTACTAGAACAAAGAAATCTGTCGCCAATGATTAATTGATATGCCATTAATTTTAGTTTATTAATTGATAGTCCTGAGATAGATAATTTAATTTATGAGTTCTTTTGGCTTTGTGTTAAAATAAAACTGGAATCAGTCCAGATAAGGTTCTGCAAAATTTCAAAAATATTGATACTTTACTCAATACCAGAATCGTATCAAAAGGCTAGAAAAAATTTAAAGGAATAAGAGGGCCAGAAACATATCACATTCACGAGTCTCGTGTCTTCTCTGCGTGAGTCTGTCCGGCCTATCAGAATTTACTCATTTGTACAAGTTAGTACAGTAGGAATAGTAATCAGTTAACAAACAAGTAGGAATAGAAAGTACATAGACTTCTTAGTATTGAACTGGGGAGTTTTCATTTTTTATTGATATGTTATACACTAATTCTAGAACCAATGGAAGTGCAAAGTAGTGAGAAAACCGATGAGCAACCTGAAATGGAGCCGAGGCCAGAAAAGATGGAGAGTGACGATATTCCGAAAGAAGGTGATGCAGAAAGCAACCAAGAAGAACGCGAGAAAGAAAATCGTGAAAGGAGGGTAAGATCAGAGTTTTTCTAATATATCAACAAGTTTACAGGATTAAATATGGTGCTTTGGTGTAATCAAGAAAGTAAATGAGAATTATTTTAAACAAGCAATATATTTGTTATCCATAATTATAAGATGTTTTATCTATTTTCAGTTTGACAAATATGTAGACTTTTAACTTTACCAACAGTTGAAAAAAAATATACCTGATTCGATGGTAATTCAAAATTATACCATACACAAAACTTTAAACTACAACCTAATAAACCTTCAAATAGAAAATACCCACATGAACTCAAGATGACAGTGTATTTATGACATTAAGGAGAACCACACAAATTGGTCAATTGTAAGAGCGACTCACATATTTGCCTTATTAAGTCTGTCATAAAGGGGCAGATAGCAATAAATTGTGTCCTGTAGTCTACAGTATACTCTTGTTTCTCACAAACGAAATTTTGTCTATTTTCAAAACGCTAATAATTTTTCTAGTTCCAAAGAAACTCATTTTTCGATAATTTATGTATGATGCAACGGAGGTAGGACCAGACCTATACATATATATACTAACTATCGCCAGCGGCTTCGCCCGCGTGGACCCTAGGGAAATGTTTAGTGGGATAAAAAGTATCCTATTATCTAAGTCAGCTAATACCCTATCTGTATACCAAATTTCATCAAAATCCGTTCAGAAGTTTCGACATGATTGACCGACAAACATCCAAACAAAGAAACTTTCACATTTATAATATTAATAGGATATATTTATATCTTCACAGATTTGAATTTAAGAAAATTATAATTATTCAAAATGCTCCCAATTTTCATTCATGGACAGAGAAGACTGTTTGTCCTTATATATATTTGATGTCACATGCTTATTTTTTAATTAATTTGTGGTCTATGTTGAAACTACGTTAATTAGTGTATTTGTCAACGTTAAAAATTAATAACACATATTTCTCTTTATTTTAAACGACATAATGTATATTTTTTGCAGATTACGCAAAATAAAATTAAATATTATTTGACATTTTATCTAAGAAATATTAATGTAATGTGCATATTATGTAATAAAGAATAATTCAAAATTATTTTCTAAATTAGTCACATATTGAATAGTTGAATGATTACTAAAAGTTTAGTATTTGCTACTTAACAATATTATTTATTTAGCCACGTGAGTTGACTGAAGAAGAAGAATGGGAGCAACTCAACGAGCGGCTCAAAATAAAGGAACAGGAACGTATTGAACGAGAGAAGAAACAGGCCGAAGACGACGCCAAACGCCTGGAGGAAGTTAGCAATGTATGTTATTATTTCTTTTTTACTCTCATTATACATTTGTGTAGGAGTTTTTTCACAAGTTTTCACTGACAAGAAATTTCGACAATTCGGTTTCTCTGAATTAAGCATTGTCGTTTTCTGGAGGACAAGAAAAAATTTGTCACTGTTGATTTGTGAGATTAAACATTGCGCTAATAAAATTGGACTTCAGGTGGCAAAATGCAAATAGTTGAGATTCTGTTATGATAAGTTTATTACATAAAAATTTGCAAAATGGAGTGTGACTCATACATTTTACAGTTTAAAAGCAATTGAAGAGTCAATAGTTTTGTATAGATATGATATACTTATGACTTTAATTGGGGATACTTATATATACTTATATATATACAGGACCCCGTGAAACTAAACCGCCTTAAGCGCAAGCAAGAGAAAAAGGCGCGCTGGAGCAACTTCTACAAAACTGTTGCAGTTACCAATGAGATACTAACTCCACCTGTTGAGGTACTTAATGTATATTTGATGTCTATATTTTGAAATTTTGTCTTTGTCTTAGTACCTGGAGTTGCCAGAGATATGCATTAGTCATAAAATACTTATATTTTATGCCTGATGTAAATCTAGTATATGATCGATATCTTACAATTTATCTGAATCTAGAAACTAAGATAAGTCACCACAAATTCAAAAAGCTCACGTTACTTAGATATAATTTGATTATGAAATCTAAAGTTATATTTGTACTTGTGTAGCTTACATTTCTAGAGTATGCAGCTTTACAAAATTTTGTCTTATTATAATTTATGTGTTTACTCTATATATTATTCTTCTTCTTCTTTTTAAATAAATGGCGTTGCCCTTGTGGATTTCGCCAGAATCCAGTGTTTCGCTCAGATTAATTCATGTTTTGATATTTTATAAACTCTGCTTTTTGTAAGATAGAAGAATTTTTTTAAATTAGATATGTCACCATTATACAAAAAGAAGAGCAAATACTGCAGAAAGGACAACCAAAATTCTAAAGCTTAACTTCATATTTAAATATCAGTGCGATAGAGAAGAAATATTAATTTAATTTCGGTAGTTTCAAAATGTTGTTCTTTTACAGAGTGATATTATAAAAACAAAGAAGGAAGCTGCAGAAGCCAAGGTACCAGAGCCAGAATTGGATGACGAAAAAGTTACTCTGTCTTGGTGTAAGTATTAACTATAAGTAGATACATTTTTTATGAAACACTAGTGGCCGCCAGCGACTTCGTCCGCGTTTTTCATTATTTCTTCGCTCCTGATAGTTGCAGCGTGATGTTATATAGCTTAAAGTCGTCCTAGATAAATGGTTTATTCAATACAATATTTTTTCAATTCGAACCAGTAGTTTCTGAGATTAACGCGTTCAAACAAACAAACTCTTCAGCTTTATAATATTTGTATAGATTTGAAATGAAACTTACATTCTATAATCAATTGGAAAACAATGCCATCATCAAAAAGTAGAATGGGCTAATAGGACAAGTTAGTGTTATTATGGAAAGTCAATAGCTCTATAGAACAGTTCTTATTATTATATCACAACATAATAAATATGATTGTCACCATTTCGAATGCGATAAAAATATAAAGTATAATCAACTAAATTGTGCGCGCGGCGGTATGTGTGGGCAATCCTTGTACAGAGTACAGTGACTTTATGTGCGTCTACTGAAGCGCAGCCAAATAAAAATACAGTAATTTCAACAAATTGAAAATAAAAAATATATAACAGAAACCTGTAACTATTGTAATTTAGTATAGATTTTTCATTCTTTTAAATAATAGATAATATAGATTTTTTTATAATAATTTATTATAATATAGTACTTCATAAGTAGTTACTAAATTTTATCTTGTCACATTACTTATTTAATCTCATAAAATTAAGTTAAAAATCTGTTATTTACTTAATCATGTATAAACCAGCTATAGTATTATGTTTTCGCACGTGCCTAGAGTGTCTAGAGAACACCAGCCACTGTATGGTCGTGATGTTCGGTTATGTTGTGTATGTACCAGAGTTCGTAAAAATCCGATATTTATAATAAATATCAAAATATTCGATATATATCATGCCTATGAAAAGCTGCGATTTTTAAGCTGCTAGTGTTTTTATTTAGGTTTTAATCTTTTAAAATTTCGAAATCTCGAGTAGGTATGTTACTTCGGGCCAATATTGCCAACGTCACATCAAGTTGGTTAATTTTCTAGCTCTAACAATAAATATTATATATATATATAGCAATCGATATATTTCTGTTGATATTTATCAGCGTACCCTGGTATATGTCCAGTCTCGCGGCGGCGTAGTCTATAAGCGCCGCGACCTGCGATCGTTTTGTTAAACAACTTTCGCAAAGATCGGTCATGGGATGAGTGACCAAATACGATTAACTCGGAAGGCACGTTATACCGTTGGTCTCGGCGTTGGGCCAGCGTGGAGGGTCATGGCCTATCCTTAACCACCCTTAAGGAAGGCCTGCAGTGCAGTTGGGACGTTATTGGTCTGATGATGATCAAATACCCTGGTATGTGTAGACGACAGCGACCTGAATCAGTACCTGGAGTTGCCCGAGTTGAACGGCGTGGTGCCGCTGAGTGAGGGCGCGTTCTCGCACGCGTGGGCCGGCGCGCGCGCATCGCACGGCGTCACCGCCGGTAGAGTCTGCTACGAGGTGAGCGATAGATAGATAGATAGATAAGTCATTTATTCAAAATGCAACACACGACTACATTATACAGAGAATAAAAATAAAACACAAACAATTAATAAAGGAAAATAGAATACCAGAGAAAAACAAATAACTAGGAACAAGCATGTACCTGTGTGTTGCAGAGAGACAGCGACGGGTACACGCCACGGCGTGCCGGTTTAAAAATGATAAATATAATTGTAAATATTAAACAACATCACATACATTGTTCAGATTTCAAGATGGGTAGCTAAAGCTCCCGTATTATGGAGTATCTGAGACAACGGATTTACCACAACACCCAGACCCGAGACAATATAGAGAAGTTTATTTTCTATATTGACCCGACCGATTATCGAACCCGGGACCTTGGAGACAATATAGAAAAGTTAATTTTCTACATTGACCCGACCGATTATCGAACCCGGGACCTCAGAGATGGCGAAAACTCGAAACGAATTTTTTATTAATTTAATAAATTATCAATTTTATTAGCATGTACGTAATAGTGTCTTGTATTATGTATCAAATAAAAAAAAAGATGCATTAATGTTTCGAAAAATTAAAACGTTGTTTTAAATGAATCATATATTTATTCATTTTTTTAATGTTTTTTTTTTCTGTAGCAACTATGTGATGATAAGAAAATTTCTAGTAGAACACTAGCTAATTTACAACATTTATGTTGCACGGCAATAGATTCTCAATCAACATATTGCTACAAATGTAAGATGCGATCAATGTGTAATGTCTAATAAGAAAAAAAGTGGTATCTAATAAGACCAAAATGAGATAAAACCAATCTTTATCTTTAAAATCATTTACTTTTTATGCACAAGACAGTTACTATCAAGGGTCCATATTTTATTGCTAATAATTCATGGTATTTTGTTAAAAATAAACTCAACAGAGGCTTCGCTCGCGTGGTCCCTAGGGCACTGTTTAGTAAGGTAAAAGTAGCTCAGAAATATCTTGTCTCAAATTTCATCAAAATCCGTCCAGTAGTTTTTTCGTGAAAGAGTTTCATATATACATACATCCTCAAAAACTTTCGCGTTTATAATATTAGTGAGATTCGAAGGTAAGTAGTTGCCTAAAAGTAAAATTCAATTTTCAATAAAATTTAAACCTAAAAATATTGTTTTTGTGTTATTATTTTCATTTAACAAAATTAAGTTTTATGTAGTATTTAAATGTAAATGTTAAACATTCGATTAAGTGTAATGTAATTGGCGTATTATAGGTGCGTGTGGGTGGAGTGGTGACCACCACCGAGAGCTCAGAGAAGGAACCCATCATATCCGGCATCAGGGTTGGATGGTCTACGTTGGATTCAACCTTGCATCTTGGTAAATATAGAGAGAAATACACAGAGTTGTCATATACTTACACACTTTATTTACATTATATACATTTTCCTACACAGAAACCAATTTTTGTATATGGTAAAACAAGATTAAAACAATCATGTTTAATACCACCCTATTCTACGTTCCTGTAACTTGAGACATGTTTTCATACCATCACGGTAATACACCATTTATATCTCGGAAGGGTAGCAATCAAACCAGAAATCATTATAGAAGAAGGACTCATAGTACTGTGTAGGGTTTCTGTCTATTTTTCCATTGCTGACAATGTGATGGATTATGTGATCCATCCGATCAATTGAAAATCAATCAAACTACGGATTTTTACTATGAAAGAAATATTTTGTTATATAATGCTCTATATTCCGCGATACTAAAAATTTCGAGTGGGTGACTTATAGATATTCTGGAATCATAAAAATACCCCAAAGATAATGAAAAAAAACTTTCTCTCGTTACCTAGACTAGTATACTAGTAAAGTATTTCTTTCTCACTGGTTCGGTCCGGTAAACAATATGTATTTTATATGTAGTTTCTTACCGGACTGGCTCGTCCAATAGCACCCCCTTGCACCCCGCTACCCATGACTGCACGTATTTGTATATAACCAGCCATTCGTTCGTTTATTATTGATGTAACCTATGCTACAAAGTAATTAACGAACACAAGCTACCTAACAGCCCAATTCAATTCGATGTCTTTCTTGTGGCTCTTCTGTGATTTAGCCAGTCTCTATTTTATACCATAGTTATATACTTTGGGGTTGGAATACAGCTCTAAATAAATATACATATACCTAATTCCTAACAAGGGAATTTTAGTTTTTCAACTAAAGAAAAAAAAGGAAAAGTCGATTTCATAAGGCATTTATTGCACAGTAAAAATGGTATAAAAATTAATTACAATATGTACATATTTATGTATTTTGTTATGATTACACAAATACACAAGTCATTAAATGACGATTACAACAATTATTAATTTTTAATATTTTACATTCAAATAGCTATAGATTATAAACACAAACAGAATATAAATGCATCTAGTTATTGAAACTTTTTTCTCGAATCACACTGTACAACTATATCATGTTTACAATCAATGTTACTTAACAATTAACAAACACAAGTTACTTAATCTAATAGTCCTATCGTACCATATTTACAAATTTTCTTCAAAATATTTGTTGCAACATAGGGATGGAATACAATCTTAAATAAATTCCTAATTTCATTAGGCATTTACTACTTTACAGAAAGAGAGTATATAAATTATTTTCAATATTGTATATATTTACTACACAATAAACTCTCATCTTTCTCATTAGTCATTAGATGAACAATTGCCTTTTTATAATATTTTATATTAATAATAATCATAGATAATGTACAGTCACAAACAGAATATTAATGTAGTTATTTATCAAAAGTTATGTTTTCGAGTCAATTTTGGTTTCTTTGGTAAAGAACCAAATGCAACTGTGCTCTTGGCACCATTGACGTTGGTGGTGATAGGTCGTTGTTCCAATCGTGGTTGCTTTTTGTTTGGCTTTTGTGCCACATTGGATCTCTGGTCCCATCTCGAACTCCTCTTTTGAGAACACTCAGCACTTTCTGGTTTCTTTACAGCACCGGGGAAAACGTAAAGTTTAGAATGATTTTTTTCTCTTCTAGCCATTTCAAGTTCCTGGACACGGGATAACTCATCATAATATGACTCTTTGCCCCATTTTAAAGGATCATATATTTCAGGAGGATAATTAGTGTCCGACTCATTTATGTTACAATACTCAACGAGCTTGTCATAGAGATTAGGGTTCCTGAAACTCTTATTATTTTGTATGACCTTGTTCATATCCAAACTGTCGTTTAACATTTGATCATAATATTTGGCAATTCTTTCCTGTAGTTCCTCAGAACATTTCCCTGTAGGCTCGGGTGGAATGGTGACGCCATTTTGTAATTCATCAGGATCAGAGCGCGACATAACCGCCGTATCTGTCTCCATCGATAGGAAACGCATGTCATATTGGTCCTCTGCTGTAGGTGACGGAAGTTCCTCATCTGACATTATTATATCGTCAACAGATGAAACTAGCCAATGTGTAGATGATGATGACGACGATGTTGCCGAGGCGGACTTACTATTTTCATTGTTTGTCATGGGCCTCACAAGAACCGTTTGTGTCGGTTCATCTACTATGCTTTCCTCACCCTCCGAGTCACTATAAGTAGCGGCGAGTAAAGCTAATCCTTGAGAAGTCATGCTTGCTGTTGGATGATTTTGGTCACTCACTAACGACGGGTTTCTATTAAAGTTTTATATCACGTGAAATTATGCAGTGTAAGTTAACAATGCTTCAAAATCTGATATAGATCATCACAGTACTCCGAGAAATCAAAACACTAGACGCCAAATAAATTTTAGATTTAGCGTGCGTTCAGCTCAATGATAAGCCACAGACTGATCCAAAGAACTACCTACCAGTGTTGCCATCACAATGAATTCCAGTTGCTAGGCTCAACAATAAAAGTCCCTAGAATGTCGCTAAGATGATTTATCAGTGGCGGATCGTTCTGGATGGAGCAAAACAGATCATTTAAATGTATTAAACACATTTCTGTAAAACAATATGATCATTATTATTTGCAAATTCAATAAATCATGAAATTATTGCGCCAGCGCCATCTAGTGACAGTTGACACTGATTAAAGTATAAATTCGCTAATGTGCTAAAGCTACTGTCACATTCTTGTGATCCGAAATGAAATAACGTGGCTTATAATCACAGATTCATTTCTGTTTCTAATAATAAACAAACAATCCGAAGAAAATCAAGTGTTTGATGTAAATATAGATTTAGTTCATTTTACAGAGTTCATGTTGAAATCACAGCGCAAGAGAAATGGCATTCAAACGCATTTCTTTTCCATCATAGTCAACTTGTTATTAGATATCGAATATTCATATTTAGCTAATAGCATATAGCTTCAGTTACGCGGTAAAGTCACTGGTACAATTTGAAATCTCTCTAGCACACTAACAAAATACTTCAATTTATTTTGTTTCCTATTGCTCGTTTATGATTTAGCTAGTGTCTAGTTGAGATATGTTTGGCCGGTCCCTGTTCTATATTATCAATGGTTTCTATATTTAAAGCTGGCTTAACCCGCTCATAGACGGCGTTGTTCTAGTACTAGTTCAATATAATAAACGAGCCTCAGTAAAGAAAGAAAGAAAATGTTTTTATTGGCCTACACAATACATACAACATTTATAGAAAAAACTTCACAGAGATATATTGGAAGGCCAACCAGGTGGCTCTCTCAGTGATATCTTTTGTGACAGTAATCGATTGATTCGATTATTTCTATCTATTCGATTGGTACATTCGAATCATATGGATTCATTCGATTAATGTATTTATCATGTGAATCGATATGGCCCCGACGTGTTGTTATAATGAAACGTTGACAGATATCACCATGAAATCCATTGGACTGTATAAGTCCATTTGCTTTAAATAAAATGAATAATATTAAATTAAGAAAAAAATGTATGCTCACAAGACGTCTACAAAATCAGAATTTTCAAAGTCTAATAATTTACCATCTCACTCGCACACAAACAAGATAGATTAATTTGATAAGGCTAGGCCCGATATGGCATGTGTTATCGTATAATAAGGTTGTTTTGATTCCTTGTAAATTAGTAACAACAAAATACTTGTGGTGTTGCTATACACCTATTGTGCCTGTAATACACTTACTATCCCCCAAAATATTAGGATTCTTCTCGTTGGAAATTTTTCATTACTACTGAGCGATACTAAAAAATGTCGAGTGGCGACTTATAAATATTCTGAAATCACAAAAATACTCCAAAAATAAAGAAAAACACTTATTCTCTCGATGCCCAGACTAGTATACTATAGTCCGGTAAAAAATATGCATTTTATATGTAGTTTCTTACCGGACTGGCTCGTTCGATAGCACCCCCTTGCACCCCGCTGCCGGCGCCCATGACTGAGCGTATTTATATATAGCCAGTCATTCGTTCGTTTATTATTGATGTAATCTATACTACAAAGTAATTAACAAACACAAGCTACCTAATAGCCCTATTCAATTCAATGTCTTTCTTTTGGCTCTTCTATGATTTAGCCAGTCTCGATTTCATAATTATAAACTTTGGGGTTGGAATACAGCCCTAAATAAATATACATATACCTAATTCCTAAACGAAGTGAATTTTAGTTGTTCAACTAAAGAAAAAAAAGAGAAAGGTCGATTTTATAAAGCATTTATTGCACAGTAAAAATTATATAAAAATTAATTACAATATGTACATATTTATATATTTTTTTTATGATTACACAAATACACAAGTCATTACATGACAATTACAACAATTACCAATTATTAATATTTTACATTAACAATAGCTATAGATAGATTATAAACACAAACAGAATATTAATGCATCTAGTTATTGAAACTTTTTTCTCGAATCACACTGTACAACTATATCATATTTACATTCAATGTTACTTCTCATCGATCAACCCAAGCTTATTTATAGCTTTAAGTAAATAACAAACACAAGTTACTTAATCTAATAGTCCTATTGTACCATATTTACAAATTTTCTTCAAAATATTTGTTGCAACATAGGGATGGAATACAATCTTAAATAAATTCCTAATTTCATTAGGCATTTACTACTTTACAGAAAGAGAGTATATAAATTATTTTCTATATTGTATATATTTACTACACAATAAACTCTCATCTTTCTCGTTAGTCATTATATGAACAATTGCCTATTTATAATATTTTATATTAATAATAATCATAGATAATGTACAGTCACAAACAGAATATTAATGTAGTTATTTATCAAAAGTTATGTTTTCGAGTCAATTTTGGTTTCTTCGGTAAAGAACCAAATGCAACTGTGCTCTTGGCACCATTGACGTTGGTGGTGATAGGTCGTTGTTCCAATCGTGGTTGCTTTTTGTTTGGCTTTTGTGCCACATTGGATCTCTGGTCCCATCTCGAACTCCTCTTTTGAGAACACTCAGCACTTTCTGGTTTCTTTACAGCACCGGGGAAAACGTAAAGGTTAGAATGATTTTTTTCTCTTCTAGCCATTTCAAGTTCCTGGACACGGGATAACTCATCATAATATGACTCTTTGCCCCATTTTAAAGGATCATATATTTCAGGAGGATAATTAGTGTCCGACTCATTTATGTTACAATACTCAACGAGCTTGTCATAGAGATTAGGGTTCCTGAAACTCTTATTATTTTGAATGACCTTGTTCATATCCAAACCGTCGTTTAACATTTGATCATAATATTTGGCAATTCTTTCCTGTAGTTCCTCAGAACATTTCCCTGTAGGCTCGGGTGGAATGGTGACGCCATTTTGTAATTCATCAGGATCAGAGCGCGACATAACCGCCGTATCTGTCTCCATCGATAGGAAACGCATGTCATATTGGTCCTCTGCTGTGGGTGACGGAAGTTCCTCATCTGACATTATTATATCGTCAACAGATGAAACTAGCCAATGTGTAGATGATGATGACGACGATGTTGCCGAGGTGGACTTACTATTTTCAATGTTTGTCATGGGCCTCACAAGAACCGTTTGTGTCGGTTCATCTACTATGCTTTCCTCACCCTCCGAGTCACTATAAGTCGCGGCGAGTAAGGCTAATCCTTGAGAAGTCATGCTTGCTGTTGGATGATTTTGGTAACTCACTAACGACGGGTTTCTATTAGTTTTATATCACGTGAAATTAAGCAGTGTAAGTTAACAATGCTTCAAAATCTGATATAGATCATCACAGTACTCCGAGAAATCAAAACACTAGACGCCAAATAAATTTTAGATTTAGCGTGCGTTCAGCTCAATGATAAGCCACAGACTGATCCAAAGAACTACCTACCAGTGTTGCCATCACAATGAATTCCAGTTGCTAGGCTCAACACTTAAAGTCCCTAGAATGTCGCTAAGATGATTTATCAGTGGCGGATCGTTCTGGATGGAGCAAAACAGATCATTTAAATGTATTAAACATATTTCTGTAAAACAATATGATCATTAATATTTGCAAATTAAATAAATCATCAAATTTTTACGCCAGCGCCATCTAGTGACAGTTGACACTGATTAAAGTATGAATTCGCTAATGTGCTAAAGCTACTGTCACATTCTTGTGATCCGAAATGAAATAACGTGGCTTATAATCATAGATTCGTTTCTGTTTCTAATAATTAACACACAAATTAAGTGTTTTATGTATATATAGAAATCACAATGCAAGAGAAATGGCACTCAAACGGATTTCTATTTCATCATAGTCGACTTGTTATTAGATATCGAATATTCATATTTATCTTATAGCATATAGCTTCAGTTACGCGGTAAAGTCACTGGTACAATTTGAAATCTCTCTAGCACATTAACAAAATACTTCAATTTATTTTCTTTCCTATTGCTCGTTTATGATTTATTATTTGATTTAGCCAGTGTCTAGTTGCGATATGTTTGTCCAGTCTCTGTACTATATTGTCAATGGTTTCTATATTTGAAGCTCGTTTATCCCGCTCATAGATGGCGTTGTTCGAGTACTATTTCAATATAACAAACAGAGCCTCAGTAAAGAAAGAAAGAAAATATACAACTTTATAGAAAAAACATCACAGAGATATATTGAGAGGCGAACCAGGTGGCTCTCTCAGTGATATCTTTTGTGACAGTAAACATCACAAAAGCACTTATATTCTGTGGTGTTGTGGAGTGCCGTACTACGTTTTACTATATACTTATTAACAGCTTCAGTTGCGTTGTGTCATTACAAATCATCTATTCGATTGGTACATTCGAATCATATCGATTCATTTGATTAATGAATTTATCAAATGAATCGATATGGCCCGAATAGAAAATAAAATAACCCGACGTGTTGTTATAAATAAACGTTAACAGTGAAACCAAGGGGGATATCACCAAGAAAACCATTGGACTGTATAGGTTCATTTGCTTTAAATAAAATGAATAATAATAAATTAAGAGAAAATTTACGCACACAAGACGTTTACAAAATCAGAATATTCACAGTCTAATAATTTACCATCTCACTATGCCCAATATGGCATATGTTATCATATAATAAGGTTGTTTTGATTCCTTGTAAATTAGTAACAACAAAATACTATAATTTGTGTCAATTCGAGCTCACTGCATCTGGTGGTGTTGCTATACACCTACTGTGCCTGTAATCCACTTACTATCCCCTGAAATATTAGGATTGTTCTTATTGGAAATTTTTTATTGCTACTGAGCGATACTAAAAAATGTCGAGTGGCTACTTATAAATATTCTGAAATCACAAAAATACCCCAAAAATAAAGAAAAACACTTATTCTCTTGATGCCCAGACTAGTATACTCGTAAAGCATTTCTTTCCCGCTGGTTCAGTCCGGTAAACAATATGTATTTTATATGTAGTTTCTTACCGGACTGGCTCCTCCAATAGCACCCCCTTGCACCCCGCTGCCGGCGCCCATGTCTGAGCGTATTTATATATAGCCAGCCATTCGTTCGTTTATCATTGATGTAATCTATGCTACAAAGTAATTAACAAACACAAGCTACCTAATAGCCCTATTCAATTCATAGTCTTTCTTGTGGCTCTTCTATGATTTAACCAGTCTCTATACCATAATTATAAACTTTGGGGTTGGAATACAACTCTAATAAAATATATATATATATATATACCTAATTCCTAAACGAAGGGAATTTGAGTTGAAAAAAAAGAGAAAAGTCGATTTCATAAGGCATTTATTGTACAGTAAAAATTGTATAAAATTAATTACAATATTTAAACATATATACAGTTATATAATTATATTCTTTTTATGATTACACAAATACACAAGTCATTAGACGACGATTACAACAATTACCAATTATTAATATTTTACATTAACAATAGCTAAAGATTATAAACACAAACATAATATAAATGCATCTAGTTATTGAAACCCTTTTTCTCGAATCACACTGTACAACTATATCATGTATTCAATCAATGACAGTGACTTCTCATTGAGTAACCCAAGCTTATAAATTTAAGTCATTAACGGACACAATTTATCTAACCTAATAGTCCTATCGTATCATATTTACAAATGTTCTTCAAAATATTTGTTGCAATATAGGGATGGAATACAATCCTAAATAAAAACCTAATTTCATTAGTCATTTACTACTTTACAGAAATAAAGTGTATAAATTATTTATAATATGTACATATTTTTACACAATAAACTCTCGTCTTTCTCATTAGTCATTAGATGAAAAATTGCCTATTTATAATATTTTATATTAATAATAATCATAGATAATGTACAGTCACAAACAGAATATTAATGTAGTTATTTATCGAAATTCATGTTTTCGAGTCAATTTTGGTTTCTTCGGTAAAGAACCAAATGCAACTGTGCTCTTGGCACCATTGACGTTGGTGGTGATAGGTCGTTGTTCCAATCGTGGTTGCTTTTTGTTTGGCTTTGGTGCCACATTGGATGTTCTCTGGTCCCTTCTCGAACTCCTCTTTTGAGAACACTTAGCACTTTCTGGTTTTTTTACAGCACCGGGGAAAACGTAAAGTTTAGAATTTTTTAAGAAATTTTCGTTTTCTCTTCTAGTCATTTCAAGTTCCTGGACACGGGATAACTCATCATAATATGACTCTTTGCCCCATTTCAAAGGATCATATATTTCAGGAGGATAATTTGTGTCCGACTCGTTTATGTTACAATACTCAACGAGCTTGTCATAGAGATTAGGGTTCCTGAAACTCTTATTATTTTGTATGACCTTGTTCATATCCAAACCGTCGTTTAACATTTGATCATAATATTTTGCAATTCTTTCCTGTAGTTCCTCAGAACATTTCCCTGTAGGCTCGGGTGGAATGGTGACGCCATTTTGTAATTCATCAGGATCAGAGCGCGACATAACCGCCGTATCTGTCTCCATCGATAGGAAACGCATGTCATATTGGTCCTCTGCTGTGGGTGACGGAAGTTCCTCATCTGACATTATTATATCGTCAACAGATGAAACTAGCCAATGTGTAGATGATGATGACGACGATGTTGCCGAGGCGGACTTACTATTTTCAATGTTTGTCATGGGCCTCACAAGAACCGTTTGTGTCGGTTCATCTACTATGCTTTCCTCACCCTCCGAGTCACTATAAGTAGCGGCGAGTAAGGCTAATCCTTGAGAAGTCATGCTTGCTGTTGGATGATTTTGGTCACTCACTAACGACGGGTTTCTATTAGTTTTATATCACGTGAAATTAAGCAGTGTAAGTTAACAATGCTTCAAAATCTGATATAGATCATCACAGTACTCCGAGAAATCAAAATACTAGACGCCAAATAAATTTTAGATTTAGCGTACGTTCAGCTCAATGATAAGCCACAGACTGATCCAAAGAACTACCAACCAGTGTTGCCATCACAATGAATTCCAGTTGCTAGGCTCAACACTAAAAGTCCCTTGAATGTCGCTAAGATATTTATCAGTGGCGGATCGTTCTGGATGGAGCAAAACAGATCATTTAAATGTATTAAACATATTTCTGTAAAACAATATGATCATTATTATTTGCAAATTAAATAAATCATCAAATTATTACGCCAGCGCCATCTAGTGACAGTTGACACTGATTAAAGTATGAATTCGCTAATGTGCTAAAGCCACTGTCACATTTTTGTGATCCGAAATGAAATAACGAGCTTATAATCACAGATTCGTTTCTGTTTCTAATAATAAACAAACAATCAGAAGAAAATCAAGTCTTTGATGTAAATATGGATTTAGTTCATGTTACAGAGTTCATGTTGAAATCAACGCAAGAGAAATGGCATTCAAACGCATTTCCTTTTCATACACAACTCGTAACTAGAGATCAAATATTCAGATGCATATTTTTCCAATAGCATATTAATTTGCCATCTCACTCGCACACTAACAAATTACTTCAATTTTTTCCCTATGGCTCTTCTATAATTTGTAGTTACCATAAATTTGTCGGGTCTCTGGACTATATTCACTATGTCCGCTTACTGCTTATTTATTCTTTATAATGTTCAACTACCTTAAGTCATTTCATTTCTTGTCATTTTCAATAAAGTAACATACATTTCTGTAACTGAACTGTTATTACATTTAATGTACGCACACAAGACGTTTACGAAATGAAAATAATCACAATCCAAAGAAAACAACATATTCTCGAGATGCCTAGACTAGTATACTCGTAGAGCATTTCTTTCCCGCTGGTTAAGTCCGGTAAACAATGTGTATTTTATATGTAGTTTTTTTACCGGACTGGCTCCTCCAATAACACCCCCTTGCACCCCGCTGCCGGCGCCCATGACTGAGCGTATTTATATATAGCCAGTCATTCGTTCGTTTATTATTGATGTAATCTATACTACAAAGTAATTAACAAACACAAGCTACCTAATAGCCCTATTCAATTCAATGTCTTTCTTTTGGCTCTTCTATGATTTAGCCAGTCTCGATTTCATAATTATAAACTTTGGGGTTGGAATACAGCCCTAAATAAATATACATATACCTAATTCCTAAACGAAGTGAATTTTAGTTGTTCAACTAAAGAAAAAAAAAGAGGAAGGTCGGTTTCATAAGGCATTTATTGCACAGTATAAATGGTTAAAAATCACTCGTAATTACAATATGTACATATTTATAAGCGCCAGCGCCATCTAGTGACAGTTGACACTGATTAAAGTATGATATTTCGCTAATGTTAAAGATACTGTCACATTCTTGTGATCCGAAATTATAATCACAGATTCGGTACTGTTTCTTATAATTAACAACAAACAAATAAAAATGAAGTCTTTGATGTAAACCTTGTTCATATCCAAACCGTCGTTTAACATTAGATCATCATATCTGGCAATTCTTCCCTATATAGTTCCTCAGAACATTTCCCTGTAGGCTCGGGTGGAATGGTGACGCCATTTTGTAATTCATCAGGATCAGAGCGCGACATAACCGCCGTATTTGTCTCCATCGATAGGAAACTCATGTCATATTGGTCCTCTGCTGTGGGTGACGGAAGATCTCAAAAACACTAACTTACACACAAACGTACTAGAAAACTCTCCGCTGATATTATACTGAGTTCTATTGTTAGCGATAAGTTTCGTTTTCGCTCACATAATACTTTTATGCCGTTATCAATTTTTCGTCTGCTCTATGAGCGGAGTATACTAGAACACAAATCCGATGAATATAGTTGCTACACTATAAATCAAAGTTCGTATCAATTCGCTGAAACCCGAGATTACCTTTTGGGGATTTAGTAGGTTTCACATATTTCTTTCACTCGTCCGCAATAATATTGCTATTGTGTTCGCATGCATGCACTAGCCAATTTTGTCATAGTAAAGTGAATCTAAAATTTTGACGTTATTTAAAAATAGGCACAATGATTAACGCACGAATTTCTTACTGTGCAACGACTGTATAATAGTTAGAAATGCCGTCACATGAAAAAAAACTTGATTTAGCTCGCAATTATGATTGTTACACACCATCTTCAGACTCATCAAAACCTTACGAGTAGTTTTGTTGGTATTGTCTATACTAATATTATAAAGTAGAAAGATTTGATTGTTTGTTAATTTGTCCAAATGTAATGGAACAATTTGTTACAGGTGAAAGTGAATTGAGTTGGGGATACGAGAGCACCGCTCGCGCCGTCAATAACTCCACATACAAGGAGTACGGGCAACAGTTGCAAGAGAAAGACGTCATTGGCGTATATCTGGTCAGTACTTATTACTATACATTTTATATTAAATCTAAACATAAAAGGCTAATTGGTTTAGTCGTATCATTTTGCGATATTGAGTCATATAGTAAACGATCCCTTTTCGCTGATTTCAAATATGTATATGTTACGCTTAAAGATCGAAATAGCTCATTGAGCGAAAAAGTAGTTCTCAACGCGTTGTGGCTACAGTAAAATATCGACGTAACGAGACTCGTGTTATGGCTCTAATAGTAACTCTCACGACCTGTTATCTAACCTAATAGTCCTATCGTACCGAAATAGTCTGAATTTTCGTATGAGTTATATCTAATGTGTTTTTTTTTAAATAAATCCATTATATTTCAATAATTTACTATAAATAAGAATTGAGCTCAATTGGTTGCAAATACCCAAGAATATTTGTTTTCCTAAATGTCATTGAAAATATTTTTATTGGTATTATATAGCCTAAGGATGCCGTGTATGTGTCTGCAATCATCATAATTTTTATCCTATCGCAAAAGTATCATTGTTCATTTATATGGACAATGAATTGGGCATAGGTACATCAATATTGAGTATTTACTCTCGTACGAACTGTTTCATATGAGATCGCAAACTGAATCCTATTAATATTATAAAGGCGAAAGTTTGTAAGTATGGATGTATGGATGTTTGTTACTCTTTCACGAAAAAACTACTGGACGGATTTGGATAAAACTTTACAGCAATATAGGTTATACATCAGAATAACACATAGGGTACTTTTTACTGGGAAAACTTCTCACTCCCACGGGATACCGACTTCCACGCGGACGAAGTCGCGGGCGTCCACTAGTAACACTATAATTACATGGATTGTGACATTTGTCTCGACAGTTGTCAGTCTTTGATGACTTTAAAACTGTAACGTCATATTATTAAAGTCAATAAACATTTCAAGGGTGTATTCCGTCGGCTCACTCTCTTCTGAACAGATGAATTTTGATGCTATGAAATGAAAATATTAACTTTACTATACTACTTGTAAAACCGGAATCTTTTGACATATCTTTACTTCGAGTACTATTCCAGTTGCTGGGGTACAGCTGTTCTTTATATATTACCTGCATTTAACAACTCTTAACTAAACAGTTTTCCACCAATGTTAAATAAGGTTTCTCAGAAACGTGATATTTGAGAGAAATCAGACTAATTGATAAATCTATGTTAATTCAAGAGAAGATAAAGGAGACAAATTTCAAATATTGAAATCCCTTTTCTAAATCATCTTTATCGTTAAAATTATAATTGTTCAATAAAATTATAAAATTCCTACCTGCCACCTGTGGCACTACGCCCCGCCAATCATGGATACCCCCATAAGCTCGCGGCGTCATCAAATGAGTTATTCTGCACACTCGCCGGTTGTTACGTTAGCGCATCTTTTGTTTATGTTTATCAATAGATCGGTTCGGGTTTTTGCATTGTGTTCACGTACAGTTCATATCTCTCTTAATGTAAAAAAATGTGATTTATGACGTATAGCTATTTACAATAATATATTTGTTTCATTGTTCTAGGAAAAAAAATAGTTACGGATTAATTTTGTTTTGCACTGATAACTTATTTTAGTTTTCTTTTATCTAAGTAAACAATAGCAAAAAAATCCCAAATAAATAAATGTATTCACATTTCATAGTCAATTAAATGCGTGACACGTTTATTATATTAAGAGACCGGGTGCGAATAATGGAAAATTATATGTATACAAATAGATTACATGAAAAACATAGAGAACTCCATAAGACAAAATCTGCGAGCTTTTTGGTCATTTGTCAAAAGTAAAAATCAATGTAATGCCTACCCGTCAATATTTTTATGTGGTAACCGCTCATCAGATAAAGGTGAAGAAATATGCAACATGTTTAAGGAGTTTTTCTATTCTAATTTTCTTTTTAAACCACGAACGAACGTCTCTCAACTTCATGAAGTTGATAGATGTTCGTTCACTATTGGAGCGTGATGTATTTAAATTCTTGAATTTTTTAGAACTTAATTAATTGGCAGGGCCTGATAAAATTCCAGCAATTTTTATTGTAAAATATGCCCGTAGTCTAACTTTGCCATTATCTCTCACTTAAGGAAGGTAATGTGCTTAATATATTAAGCACATTACCTTCCTCGGTAATCTGTTTTCATAACTCCCATTCATACAAGTGCCTCAAAAACAGTCCTTCTAATTAAACTCCAAATGTCTGGCATTAGAGGTAATGTGTTTTGATGGTTTTCATCATATGATCAAAACAGGTGTCATTCTACATCCAATAAAATGCACAAATAACACATTACAGTTACAGAGCGTTTAAAAAAAAACATGATTATTGGAATTGGAATGTAATTTATCAAAATGCTATGTATCTTCATATGCTCGTAAAACATCACCCATGATATAATTATATGCTTAATAATATATCTCTAATAAGGGTTAATAATATGAACAGAACAGATGTTTACTCCCCGAAATTAGGAGGCAGAGGAGGTTTTTTACAGTTTTTACAGTTCTGAGCTAAAATTTACTTACATGATTATTTAACAAGCTATTGATAATTTCATTGACTCCCTCTGTACGAGCGTAGAGAAATACTTACAGACTTAACTTATTTTATATAATAGCAAATAGCATTATTGACTATCCTGAATAGTGATGATGACTAATTTTTGTTTGTTTGTCCGTCAGGTAGAGTGTAAAAAAATATTAAACACGTATTTTTTTTATTTTTATGGTAATCATAAAATTACGGCGTTACATTGAGTTGAAATTTCGCATGACGTCACGTTAGAGTACGTTTTCTACTCAACTGTGACGTAGCGAGCCCCCACTCCTCAACTTTAATGCATGTTATCTAAGCTATTTCTTGTTAAATTGAAGTAAAAAAAAAATACGTATCTAATATTTTTCTATTATCTGACTGACGGACTAAATAGAATTGCATTTTTTTACCCAGTCATCATCCCTATTATTGCAATTAATAGGTCTTCGTGTTAACACAGCTGCACTAAGAAAACCTAACCTTGTTCCCTGTTCCCTTAATCCGTACCAATTACATATAGGCAAAACTCTTTTATTTTGAGAACTAGCGCTATGTTCAACACTTTGATCAAGGCAAATGTCGACATTGATTTATTTAATACTTCATCAAACAAATTAAAAGGCCTTTTGGTAGACAAATTTTTTGATAAGTAAATTGATTCTCTTGTTTTTCTCGCGAGTTATAACCAATATGCTTTATGCATAAATAAATGCTTTTAGCTGTCGTCTGCTTTTTTTATTGTTTCATTACCTATAAGTGGAAACTTGTAATTGGCCTCCTTTATAGATATAATAAATATTCCACACCTAGCTCTAAATTAGAAAATAAAAATATGCAATCATGACAATCCTTAGTTTCTAGTGCATGAATTATTTTGTCCCAAATGACAAAATAATAATTATCACTGTCTGCTGCGTGGTTTAGAAGCTAAAAGCTAAACCAAACAGGGGATAACTGTAGAATTATATATCTTAAACTATATAATAATAGGACATAGCTTGATTATATTTAAATGTTAATATTTTGTTGGTAGGATCTGGAGTCGAATCCGTGCAAGATTTCCTACACCGTGAACGGGGCAGAGCAAGGTGTCGCATACGAGTTTGATAAGGAGTCGCTTGGCGGACGAGCGTTATTCCCTCATGTGCTCACCAAGAACATATGCTACAAGGTCAACATGGGATACGACAGGTAACAAACGTTCTTTATCTTAATATAAAACTATAACTAACTTTGGTACCATGTTTAAACATTATAAGACGTACTATAGATCTTACAAAAATTTATGAAATAAAACAAGTCTCTCTGATATCAGAATGACCTTTCTCTAATCCTCTTACAAGTGACTTTACCAGAGATCAAATGAGACAGTTGAATTTCTCAACTACTTTGTACTTTTGTTTACTAATGAGTGTATTTTTATTAATGTGTAAATAACAGCAAAAGAAATTTTCGTAAAATAATATTTTAAACTTTCGATCACTCACACATTTATACTTCAATATTTATCTCTGAGAAATACTTGAACCTATTACCTGGCCAGCCCCCTTACTCTCGAACGCAATCGCGACTGTTCGACATTTCAATAGGGTAGTTTCGGTAGTAAAAAATAAGTCACGAAATTGCATAAAAACTAAAATTTACATCGTAATTAACATGGAGATTCTGATTTTGAGTCTTAAAATAGCACGATCATCTTATTATCTAAAAATTAAATGTGTCACGTGACTTGAAACACGTCCCGCCATAGTGTGACATCATTGTGGCGACAACCGTCAGATTAGTCATAAAAATGTACCTATGAGAAATCAATTTATATATTTTTTCTTTCGTTCTCGATCGTTAGATGGCATTGTTCTTGTTTTATTGAAATCTTCTACTCTATGCATCTGTTTTGTGCATAGAGTTAAGGTTTTGTGTACATATCACAATGACGTCATGAATATGACGGACAGCGTTTTCGCGGGTATAAAAAAAGATTTAATTTTAAGGCAATAAGACGTGTGTATTTTCACGTAATAATTGTTTTTATTAGTTTTTTAAATTGAAATAAACAGTTACAAGTATTATTTGAAACAGTAGAATAGCTTATTGTGCTGCCTTCTTGAATCTTGATTGGTTCACAAGCTTACTCCGGCGCCAGTGTACCGAATCAAGATTACTAAACGGCACAATTGCGATGACGATCGGTTGCAATTGCGTTCGAGAGTAAGGGGGCTGATAAGCAAAAGATCCATAGAATAAAACATTCTATCTCAATTAAAAAATTTTTGGTTTTACTGTCTATTAAAATATGTGCAAACTATGCCCGTTGCTTGCTGCATTGGCATTCGAGATCGCAAGCAACATTTATAAGTTTGATTTTTATGAACTGCATGGAAAAATGTATTTCAAGCATACATCAAGTGTTCTATAAACATTACGTCTTATCCTTAGATACAACATGCTGAGTAAAACCAAGATCGTGCGGAAACGTCTAGAAATTCCAATAGAACAAGTAATCGAGGAGAAGAAGAGGATAGAAGCTGAACTTCAACGTCAGAAGGAAGAGATGGCCAGGAAGGAGAAGGAGAGGCGCGAGAGGGAGAAAAAAGAGCGCGAGGAGAGACAAAAGAAAAAGAGAGAGGTGATTAATTTGAAACATTTTTAATATTTTTACCTTTTTATATCTGAGTGGCAAAATAATATACAAAATATTGCCTTTCTTTTTTTTTATAAAGAGTCTGGCCCATTAATTTCTTAAAACAACTAATGAAGTAAGACTATAAAATGATTTAACATTTCATAACATATTTGATCAATTTCGCATTCTCAATGCTATACTGAAGAATATTCTTAATGGAAAATGCTTAAAAAATCCACTTGGTCCCTGACACCATCCAGGGTGCACGTTTTATTAAGAATATATTCCATAACTTTCCAACAAGTGGAATAATTTTATAAAACATAATAACAGTTTTATGTGAAATATTTATATCATGATTTTATCACTAGGAACGGGAAAGACAAGAGCGTGAACGTAAAGAGAAAGAAGATCAGGAGAGAAGAGAGAGAGGCGAAGATGTGAAAGAAACGGAAGAGGCGGACAAAGACAGCGAGAAACAGAAGGAAGAGGTGGAACAAAAGGAAGACGAGAAAGAAAAGGAAGAGGAAATGCAAGTAGATAATGAAAAACAAGACCAACAACCAAAGGTACGTATAGTTATCTATTTGACTTGATGACTTTTTAAACGTAGGTATGTTCTGTCATCTTTATCGTTAATTTCGATAAAGCTGTTTTTTTAATGAAGTGTATTCCCAAAAAAAATTGCATGTTTGTAGTAAAGAAAACAAGTACTGGAGAAATTTAACTGTCTGTTTTTATTATTAGCGAAAGATAGCTGGTTATGCCTGCTACATGAATTTCGTTAAAGTTTATACGACAATTTATCAAACAGCCTGACGGCTGAAGGCGTTTTCAACCTTAGTTCCAATTACTTAGAGATTACTATATTTTCCATCATAATCATATTACGACAGAAGCATCTCCATTACCATCTCATTGCACTATTTGTAATGAGTATAAAACGTGAGTCTCTTATTATTGATTTATAAAATATTTTCGACCTTATTGTCTCTACAATCCTGCCCAATATACCTTTCCCTATTGTGAATTTGAGATGTGAACCTGTAACTAATTTACTTTTACATGTTGTTTTATTGACATTGTGTGACAGTTACAGGTAGATTATAATTATTTTGTATTTACTCTGGTTTGCTTCAATAGCATTCAAGATCGCAAGCAAAATTACATTCATAGTTTTAAACTTTCTGAAAGCTTTCTTGCAGTCTTAAAGCAAGTTAGTACTGTTAATCTGAAATCATGTTTTGATACAGGAAAATGGTGAGAAAGACAAAGCTGAAGAACCAAACCAGCCAGATGTGAGTCAACCGGAAGTAAAATCTGAACCGATGGAAACTGACGCCAACGAAGAAGCCAAGTCAGCTGTACCTGGTACGTAAATATAACTCTAATAGATTATATTCACTAGTGTGTCAGAATTTATCGAATCTCCCCTCTAAGTCTGAATAACGCTTTTTTTTGTCCAACAGCCGACGGTGAAGTACCAGAGGTGACTGAAGAGCAAGTACTAAAAGGTCAAGTTATGTTGGACAAGCGTGTCAAATTCGTTATTCGGTAAGTATATTCTCTATGTATGCTGATGAATTCGTTTTTATAGCCTTAGTTTGACCACCAATTTTACTATAATCACCACAGAACACAGAAAGACGTTAGAAGGGCCTTGTGGGCGTGGCAGTGCAGCCACGATCCTAGACAAATGTACAGGATCGTGACTTCACCACGCGATCGCGATGTTTAGTCATTCACGAACGCGCGCGCTGTAAGTACTGTGAAATACGCCACTAAAAGTGTTAAAAATGCCGACTTTCGCAGTTATTAATTGAAGCCCATCCTCAAGTTGGTCCAAAGGAAGGATTTCTTTCCATTATTAAGTAGAACACTTCTCAAATTTAGTATTTTTAGTCGAAAATCGTGAAATGTTATCAAAAGTGTGAATCACAAAAAATATTTCCAAGAAAATATACATTGCTGGAGAAGTGCGCATATTTATTACATTGCGTCGTACTAAGCACGTAATGTAATGAATATCGCGAAATTACCGTTTTAAATAACAACAATAGATTACGGTAGATGGGTAGTGAAGTGCCTGGAAACATGTAATCGATTCTTGGTATGTTAGGTAGTAAAAACTAAATAAAAGTATGGACAATAAAAATAGTGGTAATAAAAAATAAATTTTATCAGAGATTAACGATATTGACTTCGTTTGGAATGCGTTTGTATATTAATTTAATAATGAGTGTGGTAATAAGTCTGTTTTTTATATTCTTAATATTGAAACAGAAAACTAGTTTTTTTTATTTTGAACCATTAACAACAATACTTTTTAAATCATCGGAGTCTGTTCAGGATAAGTTCCAATAGCATTTATTGTACTGATAGTATTTTTTTATTTTGTATATATTTATTTACATTATACTAGTTTCATTTAAGCGATGTTGCCGATCTTATCTGTTTACTTGATACAAAATCGAGTAACGTAACGTAAAAAAAAACCTACTATTATTATTAATAATTATATGCATATATTTAAGCTCGACTAGTACCGATTCAATGTTAGTTCACTAGTAATTTAAACATTTCTTATTGAATCAACCAACTAATTAAGAATTTATATCTAAAGAAAAAAGATAATGTCTCATTTAATCAATACAATTCAATGTATATCCAATATAATATAAAGAAATCATTAATCTAGTATCCTTTCAATTAATCGACTTGTTGTTTTTCAATATCGATAGTAAATAACTTTATGTCAATCACTAGTGTGATATGTCAAATTGCGCACTATAGATGTCTGTTATGGTTGAGTGTGATTGGCTATAGTTATATTGGAGCGTTCTGATTGGCATGTTTAAAATACAAGTGTGTCTTTTGTATAATTGGTCTATTATTCGTCTGATGTACGGCGGACTAAAAGTGGGGCAAGACTGGCTACATCGGTTTTCGTACAAAGGATGCATGATCGCCTTTCTAACTAGCGTTGTGTTACTCACTCTTTTTTAATGAGGATGAGTGAGGACCTCATTTTCCCTCGTGAGGGGCTCGCGAGTCACCACTCATTTGAGGTGAGGATAGGTAATGTTACAGTAGCAGCGAATGAGTACGTAGCGAGGCGCGCGCATCATTGCCGTTTGGTACAAAATGAGGGAGGGAGTCGGTAATGCTAAACAAAACATATTTTGTCTTTAGATTTTAAGAAATAAACTTTACTAGATTATAATTTATCAGAATGAATCATATAAATACATTTCTAAATAAAACAGATACATTTTTATTAACTTTGATATTTACTTAGTCTAATTCATATCAATTATCTATAAAATATTAAATACGTATTTACGAAGAAACACATAAACAAACCTGAATCGTTCCAAAAAACTCATAAAACTCAACCCATTCCCTCAATCTTGAATATATTGAGTAAATATCGAGTCGCCTTTTCATTCGAAACAACTCGCTATTTAGCTACTCACTCAAAAAGTCCACAACCTCATTTAGCTCCTCACTCCAAAAGTGAGGAACTTAATGAGGTTATAATCTTAACGTCTATTTTCAAGTTATTAATTTGATTTTTTATTCTGTAGTTTAAATGTTTGCAAAATATAATAGTATTTCTGAACGTATCTAATTTACTAAGCACACCATCTAGCGATCATCCATGCAAATCACTCCGATGCCAAAGTCATGGTGTCATAATTAAATATCGACTTTGTTAATAGTAGGGGGGAATCCCCGGATGATGTACAACACAACATACTGTATTATTTTATATTTGATTAATAAAGCAGAACATAGTTTAAAAAAAAATTGAATAGTCCTATTCACTCTCTTTACATTCCAAAAGGGCCAGGAATTCTTGTGTGCCCATGGGCCCCAGCATAGTCTAAGACGGCCTTGACAAAACCTACTGTTTTGTGTCACGCTAGATAGCAACTTAGTGTAGTCCAGTGGTTTTATCAGATTCGCGCAAAATTATAAAATGTATATTTATTAAGGCTCGAGTTCACCAAGCGTCATATAAACCGTTGGTTAACACATGGTGAATACAAAAGCATCTTTAATCATCTGTTTAAGTGCTAATCATTTGGTGAACTCGAGCTTAAATAAAGAAAAATGTATTTTTAGTTATATTGGGATTATTGAACTATAGGTACGCGGTAGACGAGGAATTGGACGGTAGCGAGGCGTGCTTGGTGCCCGGGTACACGTACATATGCCACGGCAACCTGGAGCCAGGCGCGCGACGGCCCGCGCTGCGGTCAGACTGCGAGGTATGTACCATACAACAGGACACGAACGTTCTCCAACTTACATTACAGCACATTATCAACCCATCAATGTCCCCATTGCTGAAGCAGATGGCTTGTCCTACAGATTGAGTCAAATAGGGAGAGTAGACCCACTACGCGGGCCCAGTGCGGATCGGAAGGTGTTAACGACTGCAGGTGCTGCCGGGACTAGATGTTTGACGTGCTGTCGGAAGCACAGGGGGTTTGCGATTACAATATTTGGTCACCCATCTTATAACCGGCCCACGCGAAAGTTGCTTAACTTTTGCCATGCAGACTAAACGCGCTAATGTAATCAGCGCGATGGAGCAACTCTGTACAATATACAGTAGGAAACATCTGCGCAGAAAGCCAAATTTTAAATTTGAATGGTTCAAGCACTGTCGCATGTACCTTGTCGAGTGTGACTGAGACGGATGCCTATTTTACACCTAATAATTATTGAAACAAGGCTCTCTATAAATTTTTATACTACATTCAGTCACCATCGCAATTGTCAGGTCTACTGTGCGCAAACGAAGATTCGCCATGCACCATATTAGTTTGACCTTACTGTACATACTCATATGAGTAAACTGTACCACAGATATTTAAATACTATAAATTGTACTTAACAGAAACCTAGTTTTCATTTACTTTAGCGATTTAGATATCGCGTATGCATTATTTATACTCAAACTAAAATGAAACAACAGGACGCATTGTCGATTTATTCACAATATGGTGCGAGTGGCTTTGAGAGCGTGATTCACGTAGTTGAACACTCTTGAGTTTTCTATCAATTTAAGTGCACCTGGCCATCTTCCGACAGTAGTATGAAATAAACGCACTCTGCTATATTATTATTAATGCTATCGGAATGCTTGGAAATCTGAACTTCTAGAACTATAACAAATATATAGTGTTTTTATTATAGTTATAGTCCAGAGAAAGTTCAGGCCTTGTTTTGAATCTGAGATATTTCTGGTCTGAATGGATGCATCCGTTTGTCGTGCGAATACCAACCAAATACTATCACTGTAACGAACTGAAACAATGAAGATTCTGTATTCACACAACTGTATCACGGTTGTATGACATTTTTTATCAAACAAGAGTTAGGTATATTGATATTATAATGGCGTTTTAATTAAATATTATTGGCTATATGTCTCTAGTTTTAAATAAATATTAAAACAATTTCTCAAGGACCAGACCTTGTTTGGCTCATTAATATGAGGTTGGGAACAAATAATAATATACTTACTCCTGTTAGAATGAATTCATTCTGGAAACACGTGTTTATATACGATGGATAAGCAAGCCTTACTAACGTACGTAAAGCAAGATCAGTTAACCAGAACATTATAAGCTTTCTGAGTCAGTAAAACTTTTAAATTACATTCAAATATAATGCCAAAATGTTGTCTAAATTAAATGGGTAGCATTAATATATTTTTCTCTACCAACCCCCTTTCAAGGTCGCTTTAGCTGTGAAGAAGCGGACGCGAGGATCGCGTGTCACTTTCACAAATTGGTCTCCAGCGTGACGTTATCTTGCAATGAATTAAATGGTATATTGCATGCTGTGGTTACACATTTTTTGTTAATAGATATATAAGTCACACCAAACTTAAAGGAGACGTAGCTGAAAAGTCTGCAGTGCTGTTGCAGAGTTTGAAAAAGATTTTATTTCATTGATAAAGTATTAGGAATGTGAAGCATTTATAGTTTTGAAGAGAACCGACAACATCTATATACAATATTACATAAACTAGAGAATGCTTTGTGGTTGTTCTTGTGGCACCTTCGGGATATAGTCTTATGTTCTTCGGTGATAATATAACATTTTCTTGGTGACAGAAAAACTACAGTACTTTTGAGTTGAACATTCACTTTATATAGTGATGTTCATTAACTGAAGATCTTATAAGCAATAACAGGTGATATTACTGGATAAGTGTATTAACGTTGACTGATACTGCTGCTCAAGTATACAGAGCAATAGACTTGTCAAAGCATCCGACCTAAAAGCACATTTCAGAAACCGTCTTAACGAGTTATGATCCAGGTGCAGCTGCAACGGTAGAAATTTATAGTTTATTCATAATTCAAGATGTTATGTTTTCGTAATGAACATGGGGATTTGCGGTTAAGTTATAGCGGTGGATATAATTGTTTTTGTGTATAACCATCCTAGCAGCATACAAAAGCCAATCGAATAAAAGCCGTTAGCCGCCCCTGATCGGTCTGTGGTCAGTACACGTGGTTACAACTAGGCTATGCAGTCTATTGATTGCAGTACACTAGGGTGTGTTATCTTGTCTTGTGTAATCGCTACTATACAAATATATTAAAATATGTCAATATAAATATGATCGATGTTTGTTTTAAATGTTAGAAGGATCAAAATATTTTTTTATTTGAGTATAGTGGAATAATAGCCGAAATAACTACAGATGGAAATACAATTAACAAGAAACTACACTCATACATATGTGTGAATCAAAGTAGTTGTAGGTATGAACGCGAGCGAAGCTGGTGGATATCAGTTAAGGGCGGTTGTACAAGTTTTAAGGCTCGCTCGACTACGTGCTCAGCATTTGTGTTCAGTTCGCTGTAACGCAAGTCATTGCCCAAATCTAAATTGTATTAACTTCGCGTTAAAAATGTAAGCATAAACCGATTCTTGCTTATAATTCTAAACTGTATACGTAGGTCATCCTCATGGTGGGCATGCCTGGCTCCGGCAAGACTTACTGGGCGAAGCAACACTCCGCCGCCAATCCGGAGAAGAGATACAACATTATATCCACTGGCGCCCTCTTCGATAAAATGAAGGTAAGTTTGCACGTGCACCACACGATACACGTGAAACATTCACGCGCACTCACTTCCACCAATTTAACAGTGCAACCTCTTTGTAACAAATACTGGATACTTTTTAGAAAAGTTCACAATGACGAAGTATAAAAAAAAAATAGCTCCCAAATTCAAACTAGATGTCGCTACGATACTTTATTGATTTCTCTATGACAACTTGTCCGGTTTTTCCTTCATGTATAATAATTTTCTTAAATTTTCAAAACTCCTATTTGTACTTTTTCGTATCTTTATTGATATAATGAAGGAACGGAAATGACTATATTTGGTCCATTGGTTTCCTGCAAAAATCAACTTTTGGTACAGTCGCCGCCATCTATTGAGGTGCTTTTTTAGTGTTTTCTTCCTTTTTCTTAAAATGCTTCCTTATACTAGAATATAAAATAACCACTAGTGCGTTTCAAATTATTTTTTAAAGGAATTGATTCGTTTTTGTCTGAAAAAATGAAACCCTCTTTTTTTAACCTTTTTTGGAAAATATCCAGTACTCTTTTTAGAGGTGATATTGCCATAAATTTGTATTTGTTTCGCCGCGACTTGTGAATATACACCTCTTTTAGAATAAGGAGTTGTTAGATTGATTCAGACGAAAGGTGTACATGAACTTTGAGGCAAAATCTAAGCTACTACAAAATAGCTAGTCGTAGCTTTCCGCCACAGCTTAGACCGCGTGTTCCTATATGTATTATACACAATTAACCTTCCTCTTTAATCATCTCATCGTACAGAAAGCGCGAAGCGACTCTGTATTATACTATGTATAAATGGTAGGTATTTAGACAAACTTATAGGGAAGAATAAATCAAAATCATTTGATCAGAGTACGCTGTTACAAATATTTCTGAAATATCCCACAACTACACCATCGGTTGAACGACGACGAACCTTGTTAAATTATTTATGTAGTTTTTGTTGTCTGATATCGAAATGCTTATAAAACTTAGTTGGTTATCACCAGATTATGTAGGACTGCCGAAATTGGGGATATTTGTAATTATTTAATACCGTCGTATCTAAGTAACTGAAAATCAGACTGCTATTATATAAAAACACGAAGACTAATAATAATAATATAGTTATATTAGTACTAATTATGATTTCTCTTATAATTATCTAGATGAAATGACATTAACATATTCTTCTTCATATTATTATGATTAACATAATTAAGACAGGCAATCAAACTCAATTGCTAGGGTTACAGAATATAGTGCTATATCTTTGAAGCTATATTTTTAATAAGGAAGCTCGAGCCCAGTTGTCGTTTTGTCTTTTAAATATCTGTATATTCCTTGAGGCTTACTATAATTTCAAGATATTTAATGATAATCTACTGATTGTTTTGGATTTGGATTTTTTAAGTATCTGATATGTATTCTTACCATATTATTATTGTATAATAAATAAATATCTTCATCATCATCAGCTGGAAGACGTAAATATCTTAGGACTTTTTAAATATCTTAAGATTTATCTTAGACCTAGGATATGTTAGGATAGTTAAAAGCTTCCAAAAAGTTCATGTATGCCTAATCAAAGTGTGCAAGTGTAACATTCCCAAGTAAAACAGTACAATTGATGGTGTAATACTCTTTAAATATAATCATATTGCAAGGCGAAGAATGTTTGTGATCGTATGATCGAATACACTAATAACTCTTTATTTAGAAGAGGTGATCTTATTATTTTCCGTTTCACAGTTTGTTTGTGACCAAACACATACACATTCTACACACCGATCACTAACAAGATTTTTCTTGCAGCATTAAGGTTTGACAACAAAATATGAATTGATCTACAACAACAAATAAACATCCATACTAATGACCGTCTGTATTTTCAACAGGGTGCAATATGATCGATCAACATATATAAACAAAAAAAAATCAAAAAACCAATTATAAAAAACAAATACCACAAATGTACGACCTCTAGAGGTCCAATTTCGATATTTATATGATACCAGTGGATCGGCGACTGAAGAGGAACGTAGTAGACGTCTCAGCGAGGATCGTCCCTGGTATCAAACAAACCCTTATTCTCTCTTAGCGTGTAAGTGTAGCGTTTAAGTGCGCGCGCGCCGGTTGGTGAGCTGTCACTGTATGAGTGTTGCATCGATTCAGGTGGACTGTAAGCCCTTCCGAACCAGCTACGAGGGACGCTGGGACGCGATGGTCACCAAGTGCGCTAAATGCGTGCTAAAGTTGTTGGATATCGCGAAAGGACGCAGGAGAAATTATATACTCGACCAGGTGAGCACAACACATTCTAACACTAAACATTTAATGATGTCCTTTTAAACTGGCCAGCCACACTTAAATCAGGAACAATCGAGATCGTTAATAAACGGAAGTTTGGCGAAGTACACACCGTCACCGCACGTATCATTTACCGAAGCCTCCCCCATCATATACTAATTTGTATCTATATATTTAGCTTGTGAACACATTTTAGCTTCGTATACTGCATCTATGTATCTACGCATCTTCATAAGGTACGTCGTATCATATAAGTTTTATTTTTAAGATTGTGTAACACTATCTCCCGTAGGCATGTTATGTTTCTAGACTACCGGTAAGTACACAAGGGAGTAGTGTCACTGACTTTGCCAAACGGCCTGCCAGAAAAGAATATAAGCGTCTGGGATCTCTATTGAGCTTGTTCTAGGTGTCGATCTGCCAGCGAGTGTGCGCAAGCGACACCGCCGACAGTCTTATCTATAACGAACGAATGTTTTGCTTCACATCATATTCGGCGCGGACCTACTGGGCGGCTATATAACAACGCGGTTTCGATATCGCGTCGGTAAAACAGACGAACGTATACCCGTCGGCCCAGAGGCGTAAGCTGAAGGAGTTCGACGGTTACCGGCGCGTCGCCGTCGTCATAGTCACCGATGAGGAAACTTACCGCGACCGTCAGAAGCGTCGCGAGGAGGCCGATGGCAAGGAAGTGCCCGACGGGGCCATCGTGGACATGAAAGGTGCGTACGCACTCGTCCTCTCTCTCTCTCTCTCACACACACACACACACGCGTTAGAGGTCGGGGCGTCTCTTACGGAACGTACGTTCCCCCCCTCCCCCTGTCGATGTCGTCTATTCTTGAGTATGATCATTCTGCCGATTGATTTCCGTAAGATTCGGCCCCTGTCCTGAATCTCGTGTGCCACGTCAATACGCAAGCTTATTGGTGGTGTTTTTTCGACAGCAAACTTCACGTTGCCTGAGAAATGCTCGTGGCTGGACGAGGTTTTGTACCCGGAACTCGGGGAGGAGGAGGCGAAGTCGATAGTGGAGGCGTTCCACAAGGAGGCCAAAGCGGCCGGCGTCAGTAAGGAGAAGGAGAAGAGAGATCGGTCCGCTTCACGTGACCGTCCCGCCGCCAAGCGGCCCAGAGATGAACGAAGGCATAGAGATGACAGGCGGCCCCCCAGGGACTTCCCCAGAGATCGTGGTGAGATAATACAAACGATCTTTTAGATTTAAGGACCATTTTTTAACTGTAATAAACGTTTTTGAAAATTTGTATACTAGGTAATATTGTATTAAACTGAAGTAATTGTTAATGGATGTTTGCGCAACTAATAGTATGCCTAAAAGTCAAAATAATATTCATATAATTTAACAAATTTTAAGCTCTTACGGATTATTATTTATTATATAAATTACCATTTTCTGAGTATTTAAATTGAGAGTAACAAAGTATAAGCTTAAATTTTTTTACTCAATATGAACTGTTTGTTGAAATAGATATCTGGTAAAAAAAGTTCAAATATGAAAAAAAAAGTAGGAAATTTGCATTTTAATTTTTTTTCAAACCTTAGGCATATATAGAACGATATTAATTGGAGATAGGCGTGACGACATATTGATGCTATAACAGAAGTTGGCATATTCGCGAGAAATTTTGAAAACTAAATTTAATTTTTGATTTGACCTTTTATTGCCAAAACGTGATAACCTACTTCTCTTGAGTGCTCGTGGAACCAAATTATGTGAAGTTATATTAAAATTCTGTAGAAGACCGTTGGGGTGGCGGAGGCGGCGGCGGCGGCGGTGGCGGCGGCCGCTGGGGGCCCGTAGTCCGCGGCGGGGGCGGCGGCGGGGGCGGACGCTGGGGTCCACGTGATCGCGGCGGTCCCGGACCCGTTGGACCACCTGGACGATTCGACCGCTGGGGACCACCACCCGCCAGGTTAATCTATACTAATATTATAAAGAGGAAAAGATTTGATTGTTTGTATATTTGTTTGCAACGAATAGGTTCCGGAAACACTGGACCGGTTTTTAAAATTCTATCACCTACGGGAAGCTACATCATATGCAGTGAATATAAGCTATATTTTATCCAGAACATCAGCAAATAAAGGGATGAAAATGGGAGTGGAAGTTTGTATGGGTAATAAATCGTGACCTCACGTGTAAACTATACACAATAATATGACAGTACATTTGTCTGTAGGGATTTTCGTGGGATAATAATCATGTAACCTATTTGTTGATTGGGCTGGGGATTTTAAGTGGAAAAACAGGTTTCTGTTATATGTTCGGAAAATATGAACAATTTTAACTTATAAATATTTAATAAAATAATTTTTATAACACTTATTTAGAAAATATGACACTTTGAAAACTTAAAAAAAATAGGGAATATATGTTACAAAAATTTACTAAAACACAAATGACAGTTACATACGATGTACAACTTTCATTATAACCACTATAAACATAAACGCACAAATAACAAAGATATTATAAAGTCCGCCCAGTTGCCCATGCGTTTTTCACTACTGTGCCAGGGCGTGACGTCACTTCTTTTTTTTTAGATGTAGGTTGTTTAGCACAAGTGAAATTTCTATTCTTTCCAATTTATTAATGGCTTTCCGCGTAGCTTTCACGATAACTTGACAGTACATTTTTTCATAGGGAACCGTTTAGAGAGATAAAAGTAACGTATATTTGTGTTCATGCTTAGAATTATCCGTATACCAAATTTCATCATTATCCGTTCAGTAGTTATTGCGTAAAAGAGTAACAAACAATATTAGTAGGATTTATGTTGACCGTTTTTAGCAATAAATATGATTTGTATAGAAACAACGATTTTGGTCGTGACCGCGATGACTTCCGCGGTGGTCGTGGACCAGGTGGACCTGGAGGCCGAGGTGGTCATGGCGGTCCCGGTGGACCAGGACACCGTGGCCCCGGTGGCCCAGGTGGTCCCGGTGGACCTGGCGGACCAGGAGGACCAGGCGGCCCTGGTGGACCCAGGGACAGGGGCATGGGACCACAGGGGATGGGAGACGGAAGGTTCAGGGGACCCGGTGGTGACAGGAATAACAGAGGACCGCCGCCTGATAAGAGACCGAACGTGCCGCCACCCGGTGAGTTATGTTAATAATATAAAATTTTTCATGTTACCAGTTATAAAAGGAAGATTGAATAATTAATGAAAAAGAAAACTGTGAGTGAAATGTATCTTGTTATATAAATAAATATATTTAATGTCATTAGCACCAGCGTGGTAAGGCTGGATATATAAACGAGAACTGGATCACAAGCTGACCATTTCACATGAAAAATATCTCGCCTTCATGCATTCATACATCAAACTTAATGAAATATAAGAGTGTTAAGAATTTGTATGGCGATTTGTAGTTCTCGATAGTTACCACTAGAGGGGCTGTGCTTGTTTCCATACTAAAACCTTAACGCGCTCACGCTCGAAGGTGACCGTAAAAATCAATGGAATTTACACTAAACATGCTGAACCAAACAAGTAAATTGCATACCTTGTCAAAACAGTCTTTTGACAATAAAATAGATTTTGACAATTCGCTTCTACTTGGTATATATCTAACCTAGTGTTATATTGTTCCCACTTAAGGCGGTCAAAGTGGTACCTGGCAGCGCGGCAATCAGATGCAGAACAACCGGCCGAATCCGCCGCGACCAAACCAACCGGGACAACGACCGCCCAACCAGAAGGTAAACTAATATATTGTTATGAGTTCGGCATAAAACTTAACGCCACTTGAATATAAAATCCGATTTCTTTTTACTTAAAAAAAATCACAAAAATAATCTGTCAAAATATACATTTTAAATGAGGAAGTATAAAAAAAAACGAATGTACCTCCACTAGATGGCGACTCTAGCAAAAGTTGATTTTTGCAGGAAACGAATGGACCAAAGACAGTAATTTCCATTCCTTTTAACTAACATTTTAAAAAACTAAAATTTGAAAAGTTCTAAACTTACAAATTCAAAAAAGTACAAATAGGAAAGGTTGTCATGGAGAAATCAAGAACGTACCGTGGCGACATCTAGTTAGATTGCGGGAACAAATTTTTTTGTAATACTACCTCATTGGCAATTACTACGCTGAAACGATACAGAGTAATTCTATGTATAGCGATACATATCATATACAATACTTTAGTGTAACATGAATGTATCAATTTAAAATACTATAGGATGGTGGATCAATGCAGAACCAAAACAGTCAAGGGCAAGGTGGGCAACAGCAACAGAACTGGAACCAGTGGGCCGGAGGATGGGGTGGATGGGGCAACTGGAATCAGAACCAAGGTTTGTCATGAACATTTATTGGAATTCAAGATACGTACTCGCTGAGAAGCTCGATGGTGCAGTAGTTGGCACATTCGATTTGTGATTGCAAAGATCATTGAATTAATAATGCCCAAAAAAAAAATTTTTCTCGAGCCCTTTCGTGCTTCGGAAGGCGCGGCGTCCGTTGGTTTTGGTCTTGTTAACACCAATTTGGACCGTGCAAGCGTTGGGAGTTATTTCCATTTTATAGGTAGAATGTAATGTAATTGTAATTCTACCCACAGGGAAGGTATTTGCACTAAAAGTTAGAACAATTACAGACTAATGTACTTACTTAGCCAGCAGCCAGAGTTCAATACCAGTGTTCACAATAAATAATTAAACGGTTGATTTAATTGTTTGCGGTTCTTCATTCTTTGTGCTACTGTGTGTCGCTGTTTCGATGTAAAGTTATGGCTTTGTTCCATTTACAAAAAAATATTATTTTATTTTTGAAATCCTGTACATCAATTAATAATATGACTGGGAGTTAGATATTCAGTAATCTATCATTTATATCTTTTTCAAAAGAACGACTTTAAATACTGATTTTATTAAAAATCAGCATCTTTTATCCTTTCCATCTCTTTGCATCTTTTTTCCATCTATTTGAATTGAAAACACTTTAAGTGAAACTGGTCACTATACACCATTTAATTTTGTGATTCGACTAAAATGTTCCTAATTTAGAATATTTTCTTCTGTTGTGAAAACCAGGACTATATTAGTCAACAATATTTGAGGATTGAAATGTATAAAGTAAAAAAGTATATATATAAAGATAAGCTTCTTTGTATTGTTTCATCTCAATTGTTGGTCCTTATAGTTATAATTATTTAGCCTGATATTGTTTGATGCTTCTCGGTTTAACAGCCATGATATAGTTTGTACATGCTAATATGTAAAAGAACATATGTATATTATTATTATAAAGAGGAAAGAGTTGATTGTTCGTTTGCATCGAATAGACTCTAAAAGTACTGGACCGATTTAAAATAAAAATTGATAGTAAAATTGTTTGAATGTACATTATTACTCTAATAATGATAATTAATAATTCGTAGTGACGTAGTCACCACAATAACCTACAATTCCTTCTATGTTGAATTGGAGAATGGACAGAGAATTATGAAATCAGCGGGTGAACCTTTCATGTTTAGTATTTGTTTTTCTGTCTCATATTTTTAGCCCTCGTCTAAGAAGCAGTTTTTGACATTGTCATATTTTGTTTTGTCTGGTTTATTATTTGTTTTGTGAACACAGCAGGTTGGGGCAACTGGGGTAACTGGGGCGGTTGGAACCCTAACGCGGGCAACGCGGCTGGGCAGGCGGGCGGCGGCGCGGGCGGCAACGCGGCGGGCGCGGGCGGTAACGCGGGCGGCGGGGGCGTGGGCGGGGGCGGGGGCAAGGCGGGCGCGCAGCAGGGGGCGGCGCAGGGGCAGCAGGGGCAGTGGCCCGCCAACTACACCGCGCAGCAGTGGTACCAGTGGCAGCAGTGGCAGCAGCAGCAGCAGGGCTGGCCGGGGGTATGTGCGCCGTTATATATAAAGCTGAAGAGTTTGTTTGTTTGTACGCGCTAATCTCAGGAACTTCGAATTGAATTCGGAGGTTCGAATTGAAAAAATCGTTTTGTGTTGAATAGACCATTTATCGAGGAAAGCTTTAGGCTATATAACATCACGCTGCAACTATTAGGAGCGAAGAAATAATGGAAAACGCGGACGAAGTCGCTGGCGGCCACTAGTCTCTATATACACACCGCGTAGGGTTATACCAACGATGTATTGAAAAGTTTAGACGGTTTATCTGCGCTCAACATTAACAATAAGAAAGCAAGGCAGTTGCCCGAGTTTCGATAATAATGTTTCAATAAACCTTTGGTGCTAATGTCATTTTCACTCGTAATTTTCTGTGAAAAGTTCACAAATAACTGATTGACAATGAGAAAAGCAAAATGGATATTATTTAATGAAATTGTATATATATTTTTTTTTCGTTTTAATAAAAATAGTAAAAAGTCATTGAACACAGCCTCTTTTTCGTGAATCGTATTCTACGAATAGAGAAGATTGGAGTTGACTCGTTGAGCGAAAGTTAAGCGAGTATATTTATTTCGTTCTAACAAGAGGTATGCTGTATAATTCTAATATGGAGATGAATATTTTTGGTTTCTTTGTGCTCTCTGTGGTTATATTTTAACGCTACCACAATAAAAATTGCGACGTTTTAAAACGCAATAACAGCTACTTGACAGTTATAACATTGAAATGCAATACATCGGTTATACTTGTATAGTTGAAATTTATTTTAACATTAGCTGATCCGTTTTTTAAATATTTTTATATAAATCATGTTAATTGGGCATAGCTTTTTTTCGAATTAAGTTTTCCAATGAGAAATATCTGAGAATATTGCAAATGAAATGAATTAATAGAATATTTACTAATAAAAATCTTATTTACAGTACCAACAAGGCGGTCAAGGTACGGGTAATGCAGCTGAAGCTTGGGCACAATATTATCAGGTAATTCATTTGAGCTTTAAGTAATACTTGTACATATATTTAATATTACCATATATTATCAAATGTGATATAGATGCATTATTATATTGGGTACCTAACTGTGATAATAATTGTAACCATGAAATAAATAAATAATAAGTAGTATTTCTATGCATTCACTTTCAATTCTAATTTAATGTTATTCAGATTTGTCCATTGTTGATTGAGTGTCGATATAGACACAATTGTGCACTCAAATTTATATATCCATATAAACAAAACATTTTATTTGTACATGTAAATTTATAATTATTTTTGATGGCATTTATTATGTTTTGCAGACTTACGGTAACGCTGCCAACGCTGCCGCTGCCGCTGCGGCCACGCCTGCCGTCGACAAGAAGTGACACGCGCGTACATACGTATATAACCCGTAAAACCTGTACGTTGATACACACCATCTGGATCAGTTCCGTGTATACGGTAAAAATACCTTGATTAGTGGCACCGATCCACTTTTGTGCCTTTAGTTTTACAGATATAAACAATTTCGTTTTGTGATGCACGAAGCCGAGTGTTTACTCCACCACATAATAGTTTGTAAGACTTGTAACTGATTTTGCGTCACGAAATCAGCCGTGTGATTGACTATTTCCATAATAAAATTTATTCTATTTTCGGTTACATTGTAAAAATGTAGGGTGACAAATTATTAGGAAAATGTGAACGTGTATATGCGTCCAATTTCAACTGTGGAGTTAGTTCATCATGCGCTCAGTTTATGAATAAAGAATCTGTGTGCATAAAAATGTTTTTCCTTGGAAATTAACGGGTACTTGGTAGTATATTATCAATATGCTTCTTGAACCATAAAATAATCATTAACATTCTTCAGAAAAGCTGAAATATTCAACGATTTATAAATCCAGGCAATTAACAAGTAACTGTAAACTATTTTAAAATGTTTATTCAGATCAAAAAAGATTTATATGTACCTTAAATGAATTTGGAAATTGAAAATAGAAATGTTGAGATAAATCTCAGCTGATTTTTTTTTTTTGTCATCAGAGCATATCTTTTATATGCTGGGTGTTTTAATTATCAAATTAAACTTTTGTTTTGTTTTTTTTTTTATCTAATATATAAAAGTTTAATAATATTAAGATGCTTATTTACGTAATAGTTTATACTATAAACAAAATTATCGACGTCAAAAACTTACGGTACTACTAGAAAAGTTGAACCGGTTGCTTACTGGTCAGAAATTCACCGCAATTGATTAGATCATTTAAATATTACCATGTCAAGATTGACTCAGGTGGACTAAAGATGTCTGATTCATTTAAATATTAATACTACGGTTAGTTGTACAAACATCCATTAAAGTTTATAGACTTAATGAATTTCAAATTCGTATGGGTAATGTCACTTTAAATTAATGAAAAATTTTATGTACGTTTGTGCAACGGCTATATGTCATAAGTTCCGAATCGACAGCGTAATTTTAAACTTTGTTTTAACTCTTGTTTATACAATATCCAGTATAACGCTGGTCGCTTGGATTATTATATATTTAAATAGTAGTTGTTCTTTGAATGTTATCCGCACTTTGTTTTTGCTCAGTTTTAAGATGCACAAAACGAAACTAGTTTGATATTTGAAGTGACAACTTCCTTATGTAATAAGTAGTTTAGTCTACACACAAATCCTGTATAAGGTTAAACGACAAATGTAATTACAACAACTAGAATAAGTTGTTTGCAACTTGTATATTTTGTACTGGTGATGTTTAAGTAGTAACTTTTAAGTTTTCAATTGACGTTGGTTACTAGAGTAACTGAGTGGACGTGTGCAAGAGAATAGGCTATACGAGTTTAATATGTAGTCCTATAAGAGTGCAAGTGTACAAAATTTTTAAAAATCTTAGTTTTAAGAGCTCTGGGTCTTTTCGTTTGTCAACTGACATTTAATTTTAATAAAATGTATTGTGTAAGAAGTTTCTGTTTTATTTCACTTCGCAATACTTTCACCAATGCCTACATTAGTAACATAGATAATTATATTGGAGTGTATTTGTCGCATTTTGTGTGAATCTGCCGTTTACATATGGCGTCGTCAGTTTAGAAACGCTCGCTGTTAAGTAATTTGCCGAAGGCAAAATGACATCTCGTTCAAATGTTATAATTTTAATGTTTGTTGTTGTTTTAGGGTGACCATGAAGAAAACACAGTTTGGAATAATCAGATTTTATATCAGCAATTATAAGTATGCGCTTTGGTTCTCATAAAGTAATTACAAAAACGACATTTATATGATAACCAATAATTAAATAATAATAAAATTTCTTAATATAATACTATCAAATAAAAACAATTAAGTGGTTACATTAATAATTTTTTGAAGTCTTGACATATTCATCTAACTTATATGACATTTCAAAGTTACCAAATGTTACTATTTTAAAATATATTAATTTTAAATTGTCCTTGTTATCATTTTTAATGTTTTGGTTAGTTCAATATGAATGTAAAATCCGTATTTCAACGAAATCACTTAATATTTCCCAATACCCTTACATAATTCAATACAAGCAATGAAATCAAGAATAATAATAGGCGGGTTTCAATAATTAAATCAAGAATTATTTATTTGCGCATGTCAAACTTGAGTGACATTTGGACCCACTAAGAATATTTTTTTTAAAACATGCACATCGGTTATTGTGACACTGCCTTTTAGCCGACATGCATAAGCATTTGCTAAAACCTTTTCCGCCAAATAAAGATTCTTTAGAAACAGATTCTCTTAACAATATATTTAAAAGAATTTCTTACACCAAACTTAAACCAGTTTTTGATAATCCCATTATTGTGTCAATTTGGTAAACGCCGTGTCTCATGTCCAATACTTTTCCAGATATATTTTTAGTATCTAAGGACCCTCTGTCAATTTTTAAAAGTTAAAAAAAAAAGATATCTCCAATATCTAGAGCTGTCTTGATGCAGTAAAATTTACACATCAAACACAAAACATTTGAGTCATAACCTTCTTTACCAATTGTTTCTCTGCAAATAGTGTGAACTGGTTTAAGAAAAAAACATCAGTTATGGGCACCACTAGTTCAGTCTTTACATACAAAGCATCTCAAGTCATTTTAAGGGTAACCTCTTTTAAATCATGTATCAGAATTGAAAAACAGAATTTGGTAAAATAATGTTGCTTTCGTCATTTGATGACTCACTTGTATGTTGAAGAGAGGTGCTGGTATTAGTAATATTTAAAAAGGGATTAATTAGCACAGGCAAAGTTATTAAATCATTAGAATATATGATAACAGAACTGTTTGCGACTTGGGCAGAATACTCTTGAGTCTCATCTGATACATTTTTCGAATACACATCCAAAGAGCTGTCTAAAACTAAATTCCTATTTTCTACTGGCGGCACAGCGATGGAAGCAAGTTCACCTACGGGAGGGGCATGATTTGTCATCATCGTCTATGAGTTATTTTCATTACCTATGTTTTTGAAATCATCAATATTTGAAGTCTATGAATATCGAATATTTAGTCATAATAATCTTCTGTTATTACACGAACCTTTGGACTATCAAGGTTATCCTTTTTAGAATAAGGTAGTCCACATCACCAATATTCATATTTTTTTATCGATAATATTGGGCAGGCGTCGTCCGAGTGCCAGATTCTATGGACACTTTAGCATTTTTAAGGTGAGTTTAGTTTTTCAGTCCACAGGATGCTATATCGATAGCTTTGCACCTATCGACAGATTGTGTTTTTATTTGAAACGTAACATCTAACGTATGTCTAATGAAGTCAATTTCCAATAAGACTTATCTGCGTGAAATAAATCTAAATAAAAACAGCCTATATATATAGGGAGATAAAAACAGCCCCTGCCGAGATTCCTGGCGGTTATTCTCAGTACAAGATCTCCCGCCGCAGATCTACGAACCGATGGCATAGCTTTCGACATTCTCAAGTGCTTGTAACTTGTGAATGAATGACATAGAATTTTAAATATGCCATTAAACTATTACGGTGTTTGATCACATCAAATAAAACAAATGGACGTTTTTTTACACAGTTTACTTGTTCAAAAATTATACTGCCAATATTTTTTAAACCTTTGACAATATTGTGAAAAACTTCAGAATAAGGTCATTCGATGAGCCTTTGTCGTCCACAATTTAAGTCTCATCAAACATACACATTATACTTATTCACATGTTTAACATTACCTCTATGTTAGTTCGTTACAATGTTTATCCAAACCTTAAAGATTAACTCTGAAAATAAATTAAGAAAAAATATCAAATACATCGCTCACTGAATAGTACAGTGGCACAACTCAAAAACCATAATTTCGAGAAACGCTCTCCGAAGTTAGGAAAATTTAATATATCATTTTTTTAGCATAACAGTTAAATCGTTTGTAGTATATTATTACTGTTAAGTTTTTTATTTTTTCTTTTAATTATCTATGGGATGCCACCACAATGTTGTGGCGTTTTCTCGAAATAATGCTTTTAGAGTTGTGCCCCTGTACTATTCAGTGAGCGACATGTAAATGCAATGAACGTTACATATCCCATTTTGAACAAGGGAAGCAATCTATGTGGCTCATCATTTTTTATATAAATAAAACCAGTTAATTTAACATAAACGTCCACATAAAACCGTTCTGTAAAATAAATGCAAACCACAAAACTATATTACAATTTTGATGCTTATTCGACTATCGAACTTAATTAAAATCTTATAATAAACTTGAAATTAAAATTAATACACGACATGCTCTGGATAATTTTTCGGATACCGGTTAAATCAGAAAAATATGATAATTTTTTTACGGACAAAGAATTAATTAAGGAACAGAAGTGAGACATACGCTCACTCAAACAGACTTCTCGACTCGGTAAACGTTGTTTAAATATCATTTTTATAAGTCATCGAGTTTTCACTGCATACTTTCAGAGAATAGAAATCAATGAGAAAATCTAGTGTTTTAAAATTAAGTAAACGTATAGACAAAACTGCTGGCCTCTTAGAGAAGCTCAGAGTCGCTCAGCGAGGCATGGAGAGAGCTATGTTAGGGGGTTTCTTTGCACGATAGGATCCGAAACGTGGATATTCGCACAAAGAACTAGAGTGACCGACATAGCTCGCAAAGTTTGTAAGCTGAAGTGGCAGTGGGCAGGCCACATCGCTCGACGAACCGATAACCGATGGGGACGAAAGGTTCTCGAGTGGAGACCACAAACCGGAAGACGCAGCGTGGGTCGACCCCCGACTAGATGGACGGACGACATCGTCCGAGTCGCGGGCGGCCACTGGATGCAGCTGGCACAATGTCGTCCGTCGTGGCGTTCAAAGGGGGAGGCCTATGTTCAGCAGTGGACGTCTTCCGGCTGATGATGATGATGATGATGATAGACAAAATTGCAAAAAAGCTTCGTGACTCGTCGTAACTTAAATGATAAATATATTACTACGAAACAATGATCATAAACTGCCACAAAAACTGTTACATAGAAGCTCGCGAGCTTTAGGTAAAACGTTAGTTTCTAGGGATGTCTCAGTAGGTACTACAATAGTTTGCAGCGCATCTTAAGAGGTTAAATCGATGCGTTGCTTTCATTACCTGAATAAGTTAATAATTTTGTCTTACTTTTGTTAGGAATATGTCCTAAGGAATATGTTTGATATTTTAAGCCGTTCGCTGAAAAGTGTATGCTTCTTATATATGAATCCAAGTTAGTTTCCATTAGAAGGTATGATATTACTACGGAGAACCCATGGCTATATTTGTCATGTTGAAGCTATAGAATTACAAAATACAAACTGCTATACATTTTGATTTCGAATAGTAATATAAAAAATTTTTTGCCTTTTAAATAATCCAATCAAAATCTAATGCAATTAACATCTCAAAGGATATAAATGAAATTTTACACTGTGGCATTCGTAAATGCCAGTCTTTGGTTTAAATAAAATGGTTTTGTTTTTTTTTTTTTGTTATTATTTAACTATAACAAACACCATTTTAAATAATATTTTAAATTTAACAATAATATGTATTTATTAATCAGTAATCACCTAACTGCCTTATTACATAAAGTACCATTCCTTGTAGTGACATGATTTTTAAAAAGTTAAAACTAATGAATCTTATATGTGTGTATTGACTTAACACGATTCAAATCATATCAATACAAGAATGTTGGTCTAGTATCACCAAGATAAATATAAATAAGACCCATAATTCAATATTCAAAATCCATAAACAAATTGACCTATTATGTAGGTTTATAAAACACAAGGCTCATGCAGATTAAGCTGAAAAACGCTCGAGCACAATTAGAAATAAAATAACAAGTTACGTTATTCATTCGTGTATTTGCTTACTACAGTCACAAATCGCCAATCTTTCAATGACGTCATTCACACAGTCACCTGTCGATTAAACAATGTGTCAAGTATGATTTTTTTTATAATCAAACATATATTATTACAAACATACATCATTCATTACAGGCAAAATATTTGCGTATATTATTTTGTGTGACGTAACTGACGTACAAGGAACAGCGTGGTAAGAATAAATATTTCTTACAAAGCTGATTCATCTGCTCAGCAAGATGGTAACACTCGATTTATTGCAAATCAGTGCAATATTATACTCGCATACTTTGTATAATCATTTAGATCTCGCATGCTAATTTCAGTTTTACCTTAATTGAATAAAGTTTATACTTAAGTATATAAGTGCTCCAACATTTTTCAGTATGTTCTCACTTGACACTAACATTTACTCACTGCCTGAGCCCAAATCTAAAACTAAGTGTCCCTTAACTAAAAAATAACTTCATTCTGAATTGCTCATATTATATATTAAAAACCTATTTTAGAATATATGACGGAAGATGCGTCGCTGACTGCATCATCACCAGCACATCAGGTTATGTAAAGCTGTAAAC